GATCGGTCGATATGAATATTCTGCGGGCCTGGTATTACTTCTTAACATCTCGCAATTTTCCAATACATGAAATTTTGTTCACAAAAAGGTAGCTGGACACTTTCTTTCTAAAGTATTGATAGTTTAAAGTAACATTTTATTTTAACAGCACGCCATTCAATACTTCCTTCATCGCTGTCCTCGCTCTTACATGCATAGATTCACCGAATGTTCAAGTGTCTGGCACTACGTCTTACGAGAATGTTTAACTATATTTGTTTTACGACGTTTGACTGTGTATTAAAGAGCGGAAAGGGAAATGTGTGTTTTTTCAATACGTTCTGTTTTTACACGCTACACCACTATAGCGTATAGGACGTAGGAAGGACTTAAAATACATGTATTTTCATTATATCTAAACCTGTCTGTCTGTCTGTCAGTTTCTATATTTTTGCGTTGAACTTACAAGTAGAAATTTGTGAGACGTATTTTGACCCAGGGACAACCTATGTTGTAAATGGATTGGATCGGACTACTTTTTCGACTTTTACGTCACATGGACACAAATACCATGGTATTATGGTATTTTGACATTCCAAATTTAAAATGAAAAATATGGATCAAATGGGGTAAGAAAGAGGAACGTGAGAAAATTGATTTGTGAAGTTTGCGTATTTACCAGCAATGAGTAGGAAAGTTCGACAGTGCTTTCATAATGAGTGCGGGTAGAACGCATTAACGCGTTAATTTCGCCCAATCAATTGCTTCTCTACGGATTTATACAAGAACTCAAGTTTATGCATAACAAACGTGGTTGTGGACGTACTATTCCTGCACTGAAACTTCATCTATAGTAAACGCCTAAGAAAATATAAAAGAGTAAACTTTCGAACTCTATCTAACTTCTCGAAGGGTGTGGTGAGAGATCCAGCAAATGGCAACAAACACACAATTCAAAATTCACTCAGCCTTTCACCTAATTCATGGAATCATATAACTAAGCGAATAGTCGTCCCTCTACTTGGTCTACAAATGGAAAGAAAAGATGGAAAATCTACATAAAGTGTAGCGTTTTTTACAAAGATCTCAGCGAATTGTCGATTTTTAGTTTGCTGAATAACAGAAGAAGGAGAAGAAGAAAAAGAAAATCTACGTAGGTTTAGACTGAATCTTCAAATCCTCTAAGATTTTTTTTATTAATTATGACTGTTAAAATTGACGATCACAACCAATATGGTTTTACTAAACATATCGGATCTGAATCGTTTATTAATGAATGTTTTTAATTTTTCTTCGGGATTGTTCGGCGTTTCAGCCCATTTATTTATTTTTTTTTTTTTTTGTTTATTTTCAAACTTCATCTATCAATGTTTGATGATTCAGTTTTTTGCGCTTATATAAAGTAACTGTATTTGATAAATATATCTCAGTGATATGATGTAACCGACAAATAGTCTTAAGACAAAAAGAACCATAGAAGCTATGAAAAAAACGCGATGCTTAATAGGTTAACAGCTTCTACATTAATCGATTTTCATGTTAATTTATTTAACAAAAAAAAAAATCCAACAAATGATCCTTGCAATCATATTCCGGCATTGTGAACTGTCACTAATCACAATGGCTGGTGAGTGCCTTTGCTTGCTTGCTCGTTTCCTGTAATATTTGTAGCCTCTTCGAACTAATAATTTTCCAAATGGAATTTTGTGATAAGACATAACCGATGAATTATAAAAACCAATTGAATTGAAACATTCAGTGGATGTAATGAATCCCATAATAATAGTCCTTAAGTTAATTAACGAGATTTTCAGAGAATTCGATACATTAGTCACAATATAACTCTCCCCGTCAATGTTGCCCTAAAAAACAGGCACAAAAATAAAAAAAAATTTATGATTAAATCAAACAAGACGAATATTATATTCGACTATGATCGAATCTTTTATACCCACCATCTTTATATAATATTTACTTGCAGTTTATGACTAAATAGGAAAATATCTATTTTTTTTTTTGCCTTTGCAGACAGAAATGTTCTCACTTTACCAGGAGAATATTTTACAATAGACATTACGCAGACGGACAGGCTGACATGCTTAAATCGATTCAGAATTTGATGCTAATCGAGAATATATATACTTTGTAGAGTTTTTAGAGCTTCCTTCTGCGCGTTGCAAACGTTTTGACAAAATGAATATATCTGTAATCCATCTATGATGGGTATAAAAATTAAACAAATTTCCACACACAGTTAACTTTCATTTAAAACTATTATTACGGACAAATTTGCAGTAGAAAATATTAAAAATAAGACTTTTTGCTAGATAACTGCTTTAAAAATTTCAAAGAATTGATCCAAATATTTCATATAAAAATTTCAGTACTTAACGATTTTTTCCATGTAACAACTTTTTTATACATCAAAGCTTTATATGCGGAGTAATCGAAAAAGTTTTCCAATTCCATTCCTTTTTTTAAGAGGATTTGTTCGTCGCGCTAAGAGACATAAGTAAATGAAATTTCGACAAAATATATCAAGAATTACAAGCTATAGACGGAAGACGATAGACAAACAGACAGACAAGCAAGCCGGCTGACAGGCGGAGAGACACGTTCAAAACAAATCATCAGAATCATTTTCCGAATCGATCAGTACAACAAAAGCTAGGCCTGCCAGTCTTTGTAATGCGCAGTGAACAATGTAAATCGAAAACAAATTATATTTTTAATCATTTATTGAGCATAAGATAAACAAGATAAACAAGTTTAACAGGATATAAAAGTGAAGTGAAGTGAATTAAATTGGACTTTTGAACCTTTTATCTTAAATAGAAGACTAAGGTACCTTCACCCTTCCTCATCTCGGATTTCTTTTCAATTTCTTCTTGTCTTCTTTAACGAACACTTTCATCAGAATTCGTTAGACTCCGTTTCAATATTTGATATCTTATAATCAATTTCAACTTGGTGAAGCTGCGAAACAAAACCCATGACTTACTTTTTTTTATTTAAGATTTATTGGTATTTCAATATCGGAAAGCTCCTGCAGCATTCGAATCGTTTTGTTGAAAATAATTACATAGTTTGTTTCCTATCACAAGACTCTCAAGGTTTTTACCTTTGTCCTCTATGCGTGCAAAAAGGTGACCGTCACAAAGAAGTGAGCAAAAAGAAGCCGATAAGGAGAAGGTGACCGAAGCCAAGTCGCTAAGTCTTATCATCTTTCTAACTAACTAAGCACTCGCTCAAGCTACAGCCAAAGTAAGCTCTAGCATACGTAAGATTTGAACTCAGAAACGCTGACTTACCTGAAAGGCTAGATTCTTACCCACTGAGCTACTTATACTTGACACGTCTGCGCGGTGCAGTACGTATGTATCGTATATATTAGGAATATATTGAACTGGGTTCGGTAAATATAAATGAATGTGAAATGAAAATTTGGGTTTTTTAAGATTTTATTTTCTTTGGAAATTTTTTGAGTTCGAAAACCGTGTAAGGTGCGAAACATGTAAAACGAGTAGTGTACATACCGGAGGATAAGCGCGATACCTTTATATGCTTTCCTAAATGTCATGATATATAAAGCGTGTCTGCTCTTTCGTTTTTTTTTTTCAGATTCTATACGGTGATAAGATTCCTCCTTTGTACACTTTTCCTTTTAAAATTTATAGTCTGACAACACCACATTTCTTTCCCTTTTTTTTATTTCATGATTTTTCAATAATTAAGACAGGGATTTTGGACAAAAACCACGCATTTAGAAAAAGATTTTAGACAAAAACCATATGGACGATGGGAAGCCAGATAAGATGGTCCAATATTTTTTTTTCAAAATACAAACTAGGTGATTATTACGAACCGTTTATGTTTCTTTTATCAATAACAGTAGTAACGCTGTTAATTAGCTGCAATTTGTCTGCTTGCTCTTTCATTCTCGTTCTTTGTATGGGCAAAGATTCTATTAATAGCTCCTCTGCATAGCAGGAATAGAATATTCTAGAACATCCTAGAATATATGCTAGAATACGCTAACTCATATGTGACGTGAAAACTTTCTGAAACATATTAAATATGTATGTAAAAATTTATATTATACAAAGCCTGACATACCGTATACGTCATAAACTTAAAAAAACAATTTCCAACACTTTTTATCTAACACAATACTACGTACAAGTAAATAAAGAATTTTCACAAATTTATAATATAGCTAGTGCACCTCAAGATGGTGTTGCAAGAACAATCCTGTACACAATCTTTACATCTAATATGCCTGTCACAAATAATGTTTTACTCGCAATCTATGCAAATGACACTGAATTATTAGCTACTAGCACAAATTCCAACAATAGCTTAATTCACTTGGAGCGAGAACTTCATGAAAATTTGAGAGATTGCGTCGCCAGTCTTACTAGTATTATTGATAGCAGAAACATAAAAAGTCCGCAATAATCTCCTAGTTTGGACTTTGAATAAAATGCTGAGCCATCATGTCATTTAGTTGTCTCTGATAAAACCTTCACCAATTAAATTGAACAAATTTGCCGTTCTTAATAATTACTTAATGGGTAGCACTAGATGAGGTATACTATCTTTGTAGAAAAAAGTATTATCCTTATATTTGAACAATAAGCACAGCTAAGAAACTTTGCCTTTTACCCCTAAAAATGCGAAGTTGTGCTTCTAACGCAGTGTAAAATTGAAAAGAGAATGTTGAAAGTATCCAAAAACACCTAAAAAGACAAAGAACCCCCAATTAGCACACATTTAACTCATATTACGCACATAAGATTATTAAATCATTTATTTATTTACTTTTAATTTGAATCGCAAAATCACAATTTTTTTATTAAATATATTACGTTGTAAAATACCATCTTCATTTTATCGGTTAAGGGGACATCAATTATTGACGTTGGCAATACCGCAATACGGAAAAAACGGCAGATAAACGCAATTAATTCATGCATAAGTAAATAGCAAACAAAAGAGAAAGAATTCTGATTAGACAAGCATTTTATTTTTTTATATTAGAAAAATATTTTAAATTTGATTAGGTAAAATCTTGCAGTGCGAATAATCGTCGATAGTAATAATAATAAAGATGTAATCAAAATTAGTTTTAACTGTGCAAGAGGCAGTCTTTTCATAAAAAGAAAATTTTGTGACTTTCCTGGCAAGAATGTGATTGACCTCGAGTTAAAAGAAAAATACATGTATAATAGTGAAGAATAGGAGAAAAATAACATAAAAGTGAAGCAACAATTGCAGAAGCGAACAGCAACAACCTAAAGCGTATCTTGTATCTATGAAAAGTAATAGACTAGAAAACAAGTGTTCTGTTTTTCAAAGCTCTTGGTATCGTTAGCATAGCATAACATTTTGAAGTGTAGAAAAAAGGTCAATAATTCAAGTAGAATTTATTAAAACTAGCGAACCCTGAAATAATACACATTTGGAGTGGGGGCTTAAAGCTCCGACAATATGGGCACAAGTGGTTTTCAAGCTGAAGGTGAGACCCAAGGTATTGTTAAACATTACTTGTATACATAAATTATTTTCGATTTTTTTCTTTTGTTTCTTTGTCTTCCTTTTTTATACAGATAATAAAACCTTTGTGAATCACACAAGTGCGAGTGCTGGCGGTGCAGCCAGTGCTAGTGTTGGATCTTGTACATCCAATAGTAACATGAGTGTGGAGTTGTGTTTGGTTTGCGGTGATCGGGCCTCAGGGCGACACTATGGAGCAATTAGTTGTGAGGGTTGCAAAGGTTTCTTTAAGCGTTCCATACGCAAACAGCTAGGCTATCAGTGTCGAGGAGCCATGAATTGTGAGGTCACCAAACATCATCGCAATCGTTGTCAATTCTGTCGTTTGCAGAAATGTTTGGCCAGCGGCATGCGAAGTGATTGTAATTTTCATTTAAATAATGTCGACCAACATTTAAAAAAAAAAAAACACATCTTTCGTATAAAATCGACCTTCCGATCCCATTCCCCATCTCTCTTTCCTCTCCTTCCGACTTTTTTTTCATCAATTAAAATGAATATAAATTCATTTCAATATATGCATGTTTATCATTTTACCATTTTGTTGTTGCGTCTCTCTACGTTGTTTTGTTACGCTCTTTTACTCATTTACTTAATATTCCCTTTACTCTTTGAATTTCCATTATTATAACAAAAGCTGTTCAACACGAACGTAAACCCATAGTGGATAAAAAAGATACAGGAGGAGCCGGCCCATCAACAACGTCGACAGTAACGACGGGTCTGACTGTATCAGGCGGCGGAGGAGGAAGTTCATCTCTGAAGTCCACGCCCAGTCCCGTATACCCAGCACGTGCAAAAACTTCGTCCCTTTTTAGCAACAATATGAATGCAGCTGCTGCAGTGGCAGCTGCCACGAGTGCCGCAAATGCGGCTGCCGCCTTCTCACTGGACAATAACATAGCTGCTGCGGCTGGTATATTTCCAATGAGTCTAAATTTTGCTGAGCTCACCCAGACATTAAGTATGAAGAGTTTTATGTCTCTTTTTAAAAATGTTGCAATGTACTTTTCTTGTTCTAGTGTTGGCTACTCAGCAGCAACAACAACAAGTTCAGCAGCAGCAACAGATGTCTACCCAGTCAACCAGCTCTTCCAATAAACCGCTCAGCTATTCACCTGAACCCAAAAACATTGACGACAATGATGACGAAGAAGACGACTCCTTTGACAATACCTCGACCTTATGTTTACAAAACCTTTCGACAACCGCTAACAATAATAACACCCAGAATTTGAACTTTAACATGGATACATTAACTCCGAATCCTGCCACTGCTGTAGGCCTTATACAATCATCTTTAGATAAACGAATTATTGAAAAGGCCTTAAACCTACTACAGCCTATACAACAACAATTAGAGCGCATGGCGTCAGTTGGAGGCAATGGCTTACTTATTAAAAATGAACTACAAGATGATGAAATGGAGGTGGGTGAACACAGTGGCAATGAAGACGAGTTCAACGATTCTATGGACTTAAACGATTTACTACAGCACGAGCATCGTGAATTTTCTTTCAATGAGTCAATATTTGATAATGATTTATTAAATCCTCATCAGGTCAGCTTTAATCTCCAGACACCCTCTCTGGTTTCATCATATCTAAATGTGCACTACGTATGCGAATCGGGCTCACGCATTATATTTCTCACCGTTTTTTGGTTACGTAAAGTAAATGCATTTCTAGAATTGCCTCAACGGTGCCAAGTGACACTGTTACGTAACTCTTGGCCCTCGCTGCTGGCTTTAGCTGTTGCTCAAGTACGTAATTTGTCACAAGCTACTATCATCAGCACACTTATAAACAATGTGCGGCAATTGGCTGACATAGAGAAAATCGATCCCTTGAAAATCAAAAAACTAAGCGAACACATAGCTCGTTTAAATTCGTTTATTTTAAGCGTGCAAACACTTGAACCGACAGACACAGAATATGCTTATCTACGCTTGGCGTGTGTTTTCAATCCTCATACTTTTTTGAAAAGAAAGGATCATCAAATTCGTTCTTTTGTTCATCGTGTACAACAGTACGTTTTAGCTAGTCTAAGAAAATTGATAGCGTCCAAAAATCTGTCTTCGTATGAGGTCGAAGAACGTTTCAACTCTTTAATTTTGAATTTAATGCCGTTGAGTGCCTTAGAGTCCGACTCCATGGAAGATTTATTCTTTGCCAATTTGGTGGGTCAAGTTCAAATTGACAATATGTTGCCGTACATACTGACATTAAGTGCCACAGTTGGCAATTTAAATTAATTAAAACAACTTAGCTTAAGAAGTTTGTTCTTATCAATTTAGACTGACTTGATAATGCTTTTGCTTTCCTTTTGTAAATGTATAAATATAAAAACTTATCCGTAGCTTATTTACTGACTTAATATAAAATAAAAATAATAAAAATTCAAATTTTGATACACAAAACGATAAGTTGTTTTTATTTAATAAAGAGAGTATTGAAAGCAACGCAACTATTCTGTCTTTATATAAGAGTTACCTTAGCCGCACGATTTCGCCATTCAAGCAAAGCTGGCGTTAAGTCTTTATCACTTATGCCAGGCATACGTTTAAGGGAACTGTGTACACCAATATCGGCGACAGACATTGTGTTGCCGCCAAAATACTGCTGATTTTTTAAACGATTATGTAAAGCTTTTAGCATGTTGGCTTTACTCTTGGGAATCGTGCAACGTAACAGCTGATAGCATATATCCAAAACGGCATCGATTTCATTGCATAGCGGTGAATTTTCATACCGGTACTCTTGAGGTCCAACTCGAGCCAAATAACGTATGATATTTACTTCGCCATAGATAGGTACATACATTGTCGGTGAGCTAATCATTTCGGTGTGTTCACCTGAAATTCCGCACCTTCAATTAAAATCGTTCTTAGTGTATTTAAACTAAATCAACTTACAATTTTTCCATATCAAAGTGATAATAATTTTTGGGTTGTTAGTATTCACAGGCACTGTTTTTAAAGCCTGCTCAAAATCTTTGGCTTCTGTTCCAATATCGCTTACGGTTGCATGAGTGAACGTCTTCACATCCAGAGTATATAAATCTTTCCAGGCGTTTTTCAAAGCTAACAAAGCATAGGGTATAAATTTCGGATGGCCGTTGATCACAATATCATGTAAAGGCTCCTATAAAACGTTAACGTTTTTTAAAACACAAAAATGTTATACAAGTTACAGGTTGAAGGTATACCTCTCTTAAACCGCCGTTAAGTACATTGAGAACATATGATGACTTAGCCATATGTGATGATTTCTCTTCCTTTTCGTTAAAACCCAAACTAATTCGAATATCGCACAATTGAGCTTTCAAGTCATTTAATTGTTGTAAGATTTTCTCTTGGCGCAAAATCACCTCTTGAGCATCATCACCAGATATCTTTAGTTTGCAATAAAAAACATTATTTATTTTTCTCTTCTTTTTTTCGAACGTTAATATAATTCGCGCAGCAAATTTTGCGGCTAAATGACATAACAGCACATTAATATCATTCTAACAATAAGTTTGTCATTAACTTTGAAACATCGCGATCTACGAAACACACACCTTATAGAGCCCAAATATTTAATCGATCTTAGCTTTCATTTCGATTCAACCGAAATCCTCCATCATTTTACCTGTCGATTGGAATACTTACAGTCAAAATTAAGGACCTAAGCGACGCTTATTGTATATCCTTTGAAAAATTCTCTAATGGTAAGTAAAACTTCAAACGTCAACAACTCCAAGTAAATTTCGCCTTGTGGTCCTGAACTTTGACATATGAAAATCGATAGTCACAATTTTTTGCATACCCGGTCAAGGTGAGTACTCGAAATTCGTTCTAACATGAAAACTTTCTTATTTGGTTTTTTATACCCATCGCAGGGTGACAAGACTTGCCAACTACTTGTTGTAGCATATAAAAATATAGATTAGATCAATAAACGCGAGCAATACCAGAATCTAATTGGCAACATACGCATGGCGATCTTAACATTCAACCTTAATTTTTCTTCAATCGCGTCAATTAAAGTGGGAAAAAATCATCTAACTGGAGCAATTGGTCTGCCACCTATTATCAATTGCTAATTTTCTTGGGTGGACGTGACTGATTTTTCGCTATTTTAATACAGATACTGTAGGGTTATAAAGGGTTTGTTTGTTCTCGTAGTACCCATTGTAGCTTATGGGTAATAAGCAAAAAATCACTTTTTCTTTGTTTTGAGAAAACTCTCTGATGGCCTCTGTTTATAGTATAATAAAAGCGTGTATGTTATTTAGTCAATTTGGCCAATTTTCAATACAAAATTGCACGTAAGAACTTCCAACGCCTTTGTCAACTATATGCACGATATGTCATATTTACTATCAGGCGAATGTTTACCGCAAACATTACGCAGACGAATGTCTTTGTGCCAAATGACTTGTGGGTGTTACAAAAGTTTGAACAAAAACGACTGTGCATTCATCCTTAGTAAGTGTGTATAAAAATGTATTAGATTTGAAAAAAACCTATCCAAACTAACTATATGTTCCGTTTTGTTGCATTACATGCCCTGGGAAATTAAGATTTCTACTTTATTATTATAGTTTCATAAATCATCAGATTAAAAAAGTTTATTTGTTATCATCCGCTTTTTTGTATAATTATATTCGATAAGGATAAGTAAGGTTAATTTACCGCATACCAGAAATATTTATGCAAATGTACACAATGTTTGGTTGGAAAGCATTTTAGTAGGTAAACTTAAATGATATATGGAGCAAAAAAATTGCTGGTATAATTTGACAAAAATTGAAAAAGCAAGACATAAGAGAGGTAGATGTTTACGATGGTCATGATACTGATGAATCATAATAGGGATATGTTAGATATTGGCGATAAGTTGCGAAAATAGAGCGAATTAACGACTAAAAATCGATATACACGTAAATAATTATTTGAGGATAATGGTAGACGATGAGTGTATGGTTTTAATCAAAGTAAATGGATATGATTCTCTAAAGCTAAGAGCTAACAGCATCAGCAGGTAATGTTTGTGTTACAGCCACGTCATTGCCACGCCTCTTTTTTAATTAGGCACATATATACGAAAGGATTTGGTTAGTGTTCATTTTTAAATAATTTTTGAAATTTTTCTTATGCGATAATAAAAGGATTTCTTATAGAGGATTTATAGTGAGTAACCTTTAATAGTTGTTGTTGTATCTGTAAAGCCAGCATATCCAAATCCAAAGGACAACATGTGCTAACTGCAGAGGCGGTAGGAGTAGACGTGACCTGGCCTGCACCAATTTTACAAAGTAAACCCTTGCGAAATACACGTGTTTTTCATAAATTTTATAAAAATTCATATGCGGGATTACCGATTCCAAAAACAGAACTCACCTGCACAGAGTTCTTATTTTTTGTAGTGAGACTTTTCATTTCGTACATACAAGTGGGTAACTGTATGTCGAATTGCGGTAATAAAGTTTTCATTTCGTACATTATTCAACTATTTTAACACAATTAGACAACTTTTACAGTTATTTCCTCCACTAACAAAACACACTAAAATAAATATATATAAATATATAAGGACTATAAGAAACTTAGCTGAAAATCGTAGCAAAGAAGATGCTCTTGTTCTTTTTCAACACTCATTAAACTAAGGCTCCGAGACAAAAAATTTAGTAAAAATTGTTACCATAGTTTATTAAAAATCGCAAATTTATGGTTGCCAACTTTACATATACAAATAATAATAATAAAGCAGTTTTCTCTCTCATTCCAGTAGAGTTCTTCTCATCCTTGCTTTCTTTCAGCAAAATAAGAAACGTGTTGAAGTTCTTCTAACAAACAAAAAAATAAAACTTAAATTTGTATAATGAGTGATGATGAAGAAAGAATTAACCAAAGGGCTCATAAACAATTGCTACAGGCAATCAGCGGCTTGGGGAAAACTCAGCACATACGTCATTCAACTCGCAATGAGCCCAAACAGCAACAGGACGAATTCCAGTTAGTTAAAGGAGGTGCAAGTGTTCTTGAAAAGAAATTACATCCAGTAGCTGTCGGTGATATTGTGCAGATACTTAAAGGCAACAAAAAGCATGTAGAAGCCGGCAAAGAATTAAAGAATGTAGTGGCCACCAAGAAGGTGTTGAACAAGCCCTTAGAGAAACCATCTGCTGAAAGAATTAAACGTACCATTGGCTATGAAAATGTGAAGAAAAAATTAGCAAGATGGGATGCTGTAGTAGCTAAGAATAGAACCGAAGAAACCCAAGTATAATATTCAAATATTTTTATATTAGATCTTGCCTACTTTTTTTTAACTATAATTTCCTCTAGATTTTTCCTTTGCGCTATGAAAGGGTTTATGTGGACACTTCTGCTAAGCGTACACTAAATTTGAGTCTGAAAACAGATTTGATGCTACAAATGGAGGAAACTGAAAACAAATTAAAAGCGCTAAAACACCAAAATGTAGGTGATCTAGAAGAACAAGAGAAACAAGAACAATTGCTATTACAGAAGAAATTAACACGTGAGGAATTAACTGCCAAGCGAAAAGAACTAGCTTATCTGAAGATGAGAGAGTCTCAAAAGTCGGCTAAAGCCCGCCTTCAAAACAAAATTAAATCCAAGAAATATCATAAACTCATGAGACGTCAAAAATTGCAGGAGCAAATAAAACAATTTGAAATATTGCAGAAAACCAATCCCGAGGCAGCCTTAGAAAAACTGGATGCCTTAGAAAAATCAAGGGCATTAGAAAGAGCAAGTTTACGGCACAAAAATACAGGATCTTGGGCAAAAAATTTGCAAATACGTGCTAAATATGATAAAGATGTACGTAAGGATTTATCTGAACAGTTGCAAATGAGCAGGGAGCTAACTAATAAAAAACATGATATAAGCGAAGATGAGGAAAAAGAGGAACACGAGAACGAAACGCCGAGCGATACAGTGCATGGAGAAGAAAATGATCCGTTTAATCCGTGGATGAAAGGAAACGGTAAATCTAAAGATTTGCATAAAGAGGAAGAGCAAAAAACACATTGGCGAAAATATTGGTTGGAACGTAATGACAATGCGAAAATGCTCGAAGAATATAAGAAATTACTAGAAAATGATCAAGAGAAGGAAGATGTAGAGCAGGAGGTAGGGGAACCACCTTCTAACGAAAGTACCAAGAAAATAAAGAAGGTCAAGCAAACTTCTAAAAAATCAAAAAAGCCGAAGAGGACCGTTAAGCCTGCAGTCATCGAAAATGGTTGGCTTGTAGAAGAAGTAGACCCCACTACCGAAATATCTTTAGATGATATCTTTGATGCTGAGGAAGATCGGATTAAAGAAAGCCTCAGCAAAAGATTGAAAAATCTATCTGAACAGTCGAAACGTATGAGTAAACTAAAGTCGACACAAAAAAAGACAAAAATACTTCCTGACGCTTTAAAGACACTAAATGATTTAACTTTTAGTACTAACAATAAAAAACCAATCATTGATGAAGAGTTGCAAACAGAAGACCACGATGACAAGAACACATTTTCTAAAAAAATGGAAAATTTAGGAAAGACACCAGCCGAAAAACAGAGCAAAGAAGTTGAAGTTCCCTCCGACTATCCCACTATAGAGGATTCTATAGATCCAACTCAAGTAGCCACGATAAAATTGAATCAACATCTGAAAGACTTTAATGTTATCAATGAAATAATTGACGATCCGAATATGGAGGAAAGTGACAAAGAAGATGCTATTAATCGTGAGCAACAAATGACAATAGCTGAGGCATTTGAAGATGATGATATAATAGCTGACTTTTCGAGAGAAAAAGCGGAAAATTCAGCACTTAAGAATACCGATATTGAGCTAACAATGCCCGGTTGGGGTTCTTGGGCTGGTCCCGGTATTTCCGAAGAACAAGCGACGAAGCGTAATAAACGTTTAATACTAAAATTAGCGCCACCTGAGAAAAGACGTGACGAGAATAAAAATAACGTGTACATTAACGAGGAGGCTAGTAAGCATTTAAGAAGCCACTTGACATCTGATGTACCCTTCCCCTTCACGTCCTTGAAGGATTATGAGAACAGCATTCGAGCCCCTGTAGGCCGCAATTTTGTAACCGAAACGTCGTTCCGTTTACTCACTCGCCCGGCGGTTATAACACGCAAAGGTCAAATCATAGAGCCAATGGATCGTAGCGAGTTGGTGAAAAGGCCACGCAAGCTTAGGAATCCAGTCGATATAAGAATTTCCAAAATGTCGAAATAAAACTATTTTAAAGTTATTGGTACACAGCGGCAAGAAATTTGTTTTTAATTCTATTTTGTGATTTCATTTCGAAACAACAATCAGCCTTAAAGTTTAAAGGAGAAGCTTTTTCATCCGAATCGAATTACATTCCAATTTCAATGAATCAATCGTAAAATTACTACAATTATCAATCAACGCTATCGTTGATTGTGTGAACTGATATCGCTGTTCATATCACCTACAGTTAACCACAATTTGATTGCAATCTGTTCCATGATGTTCTCCAGTGATGGCCGCGGTTTTACGCAATTAATGAGACTTACTCTTACCACATTACTAGAAAAAGATAAATGCGACAATATCTACTTTTAAAAAATTTCTTCTGTATTGCTCACCTCAGAGTACTTTACTCAAGAAGACACGAAGCGACCAATGAAAGACCACTGATGGTTTCACTTATTATGTCTTTGGTTAATGACAATAATAGGCCTATAAGCATCAATTATTTACACTTAACAAATAAATTCAGTTAAAATATAAAACAATGATCAGGAACAATTAGAATCTATGTTAGCAACGGAAAATAGAACATATTGTTAACTAATTTTGTGAACACAACGTGAAGGAGCTGTAAGCATCTGCCGCAAATACTGCGAAGAAGGCCAAAGAAGAGTCCCAGGATTCTAGGCAGGCTTGATCTTGAGCAAGTTAAAAGATTTCTTGAAATATGCTTACCGTATAGTACGATTTTTGCCAACGCAGTGCCTCTTATGCTTTCCACGCCTTTGCTGCTTGAATATCTCGTTCCGCATTTTTGTGCTTGCTACTGCTTCTAACGGTATTACCCTTAACGAGGAATGTTCAACCTCTTGAGTACCCGATATCGCAGATCTGCGAGAACATGTGATTCAACGGCGGGAATTGTCGCAGAGCTGCAACCCGAAAGAGTTTATTTAATAGCGATTTTAAAATGTTTCCGATTTACTTTCATTTTTGAAGAAATCATGTTCACTCTCCTTTGCAACAAGTTACAACAAGGTAGAGCTTCGTTTTTTTTTGCCATTTTTACCAGGTTAATATTTAAACAAAAAGAATAAAAATAAAAAGAACTAGAACTAGAACCAAAGGACACGTCCCATAGCTCCGATAGAAAATTTTGAAATGAAGTTAAAATACTTTCAGTAATGAAATTAGATTGTAATCAGTTTATAGAAACTGAGTGGCCACGCTTTCTTTTCTCGGCCTACTTTTCGTTGAAAGAAAGCAATTGAGTTGATATAGAACAAGTAAATATTTTGGCTACGACACAACCTTTTGCTGACTTAAGGCATAAAGAAGCCTATAGCAAGAGACCGACACGATAACACTCTACGGCTTCAAATGTAAGGAAATGATGGCCGACAATAGCGGATAGAAAATGGTAATGAACATTTCAGGAAAGAAGAAACGTTAACGAAATGCTAAATTCGTACGGTTTAATTATGCTTAAGTGGTACCTTTACGAAACTATGGCTCAAGAACAAAATGGATTTCGCAAACCAAAGATATTCGTTGAGCAGCTTTAAAACTTCGTTTCGATTCGAGGAAATGGGAAGAGAGAAGAAAAACATCCAGTTGTCATATTCTCAGTCAACAGAGCGAACAATTGGATGGTTTTTACGAACAAAATAGTGTACACTTCAGAGGGAGATATTTATTTTATTTTTAAATAGCAATTGTACTTGAACCAGTACACATTATGTACAACGTAGCGATTTTTTGTTGACGACATCGAAAAGTAATAGTCTTTATATATTGGATTAAGGAATAACAAAAAATCTGAATGCAAACAATATATAATAAATATAAGCCAATTATAGTTGGGTGTGGCTGGATCTTTTATGTCTAGTATCTTTAACCTATTTCCGTTATTGTTAAAAAAATAATAACGAAGAAGGGAACATTTCAACACTCCCTAGATTTGAGTGGGTGTGAACTTTTCCCGTTTATACTAAGCTGAGGTAGGCTCACTCAGAGAATTTACCAAACTGCGAACCTTCACCTTCAAGCTCGGCATCACTCAACTTACAATTATGTAATTTCAAATTTTTCATAGCGCCTTTGGTCTATTTGAAGGTACATTCCTTGAAAAAATGCATTTGAAACGACGTCGTGTGCAGTGATAAACTAGCCTGGGGATTACTGTATAATAACGTCTCCCCAGGGGCGTATTTTTTTTTGGCTAAAAATCTGGGCTTAGGTCGAACAATCTGAACTAATAATAACACTGTATTATGAAATCTGGTTTCAACTTTTTAATTATGCGAAATGTTATAATCGTCTGAATCGCGTCCAAATTTCAATACTTTTGTGTGTAATTAGATTAAAATTTTAATATTTAAAAATTTTTCAAGTCCATTTTACATCTTAATGGTTGCTCTTGTTCCTAAAATTCCACCTGGTTGCGTTTTAATGTGATCGATCTTTTTGACAACGTTTACCACTACCTTCTTCTTGTAACCGTCGGCGTCCATATTGCTTTAGCGCTGCTAATAGCCACCACATGCTGAATATTTAAGCGTCCGAGTATGGCTGCTGGTGCATCGTTTAACGGATCGGATTTCTTTAATATAAAGCCAACTTCGAAGAATGACTCGATGCTTTTGCAGAGCCGAAACGCCACCGCTGATAACGCGAATATCGGTCGTGAAATTGATCGCAATACAAAGGTTTATTATTTAGACAACGTATTGTCCATGACTCAATTCTATATGAGATGAACAATATTATCTACCAAAGTTCAATTTAAGGCTTTGCCTAATGTGGTCAACGAGTCTGAACAAGCACAAATTCGTGTAGCCCGTAAATAGCAACTTAATTTTACTGAAGATTTGGCGGAGGAAATCAATAAGATTCAACAGAAATAGACACAGCGTGGATACTTTCGGTGAAAGTTGGACCAACGATAGCAAAAGTAATCTTAGTTTAGCGTCCGAAAGCTAAAGTGTTACCCAATCGGTATGCATTTCTATTACGATCGAATATCAAAGGTTTAGCTCTTTATGAGCGACGGCCGTAAACAGCGTGGAAATATCGTTTCGAACAATTGCTGGTGTGCTGTTATAGGCGTTTGTTTTCTTTTTTAAAAAATCTTCGCTGGTTAAGGAGACAAGGCGTTGAACTCTTTAGAGAACAATTCTAACGAAAGAGTTTCTGGTACAACAAAATGAATTGACAAACGGAACCGTCGTCATCGTGATGTTGCTTAACATAATTGAAGTTATTGCACACATCCACTTCAATCTCCTCCCGAAATATTTCAACCAATTTGCGCAGTTGGTGGGCAAGGACAGCAGCGTGAGAAACAATTGGCGAAATCTAGGCAATGAAATATAAGTGTTTGTCGCGTTGATAGACGCCCTGTTGCTTTGCATTATTACGCCCCTGCAAGAAGATATATTTGCTTTTAGAAATTTGTAGAACTGCTGAAATAGGTGTTCGAAATTTTTTACTTTACCTGAAGGGAAGTTGAAGAAGCGACATTGAATGAGTGAAGACTCTCAATGCTGAAAGGTTAAAGAGCCAACGTCTCGGTCATCACCGTCGCCTTCAGTTCCGATAATTAATGCGTGCAATTAGACGCTATTGCGCTTCACGGTGGACGCAATCATTCCAAAAGATGTAAAATAAAAATTTGTTCACCTCCAGCCGCCGCACACGCGCTTATTTGCCGACTACTTCTGGTTTTCGATCATTTGTTCTAGTTTGCTCTGCCCATTTTTTGCTCCTTTTTTAAGTGCTTTTTCTGACATGTTTTGAAGTTTCCATCAATTTTTTTATCCAAAATTTGATCGGAAACTATTTTTTAATACAGCCAGAAGTTTGTATGTTGAACTAGAAACGTTAAGACATGCACTACGAATCCTGCAATTTATCAACCATTTTCTCAAATCGAAACGAAGTTTTAAAGCTGCTCAACGAATATCTTTGGTTTGCGAAGTCCATTTTGTTCTTGAGCCATAGTTTCGTAAAGGTACCACTTAAGCATAATTAAACCGTACGAATTTAGCATTTCGTTAACGTTTCTTCTTTCCTGAAATCTTCATTACCATTTTCTATTCGCTATTGTCGGCCATCATTTCCTTACATTTGAAGCCGTAGAGTGTTATCGTGTCGGTCTCTTGCTATAGGCTTCTTTATGCCTTAAGTCAGCAAAAGGTTGTGTCGTAGCCAAAATATTTACTTGTTCTATATCAACTCAATTGCTTTCTTTCAACGAAAAGTAGGCCGAGAAAAGAAAGCGTGGCCACTCAGTTTCTATAAACTGATTACAATCTAATTTCATTACTGAAAGTATTTTAACTTCATTTCAAAATTTTCTGTCGGAGCTGTGAGACGTGTCCTTTGGTTCTAGTTCTAGTTCTTTTTATTTTTATTCTTTTTGTTTAAATATTAACCTGGTAAAAATGGCAAAAAAAAAACGAAGCTCTACCTTGTTGTAACTTGTTGCAAAGGAGAGTGAACATGATTTCTTCAAAAATGAAAGTAAATCGGAAACATTTTAAAATCGCTATTAAATAAACTCTTTCGGGTTGCAGCTCTGCGACAATTCCCGCCGTTGAATCACATGTTCTCGCAGATCTGCGATATCGGATACTCAAGAGGTTGAACATTGCTCGTTAAGGGTAATACCGTTAGGAGCAGTAGCAAGCACAAAAATGCGGAACGAGATATTCAAGCAGCAAAGGCGTGGAAAGCATAAGAGGCACTGCGTTGGCAAAAATCGTACTATACGGTAAACATATTTCAAGAAATCTTTTAACTTGGTCAAGATCAAGCCTGCCTAGAATCCTGGGTCTCTTCTTTGGCCTTCTTCGCAGTTTTTGCGGCAGATGCTTACAGCTCCTTCATGTTGTGTTCACAAAATTAGCTAACAATATGTTCTATTTTCCGTTGCTAGCATAGATTCTAATTGTTCCTGATCATTCATTTATATTTTATATCGATTTATTTGTTAATTATTTACAATTGATGCATATACACCCACTATTGTCATTAAACCGAAGACATAACTGAAACTAAAGAGTGTTCGTTATAATTAACTTGATGTCCTGGCCAGGTTTTCATAAGCAAAAATGAAGAAAGTTTTCCAAGATGGAACTAGTGGAAGGTAGTAACAATGTTTATGCATATATATTCGTAATAAGACTGTAAGAGCTTCGTTTATAAATTTCCCCAAACTATGATGACAAAAACTTTGGACACAAGTTCTCTTTTAATAAAGTACTTAAATATTATACTTTCCTAATCACGGCTGATGTGTTGGTGTGGTTCGATAACTTTCTAGTAATTTGTTCAATGGGTTCACTGTATTCATCATCTCAAATAATGTTTTAATTCTGTGTATAAATTTATTTACAAACTATGGATAATTTTGATGTTAGGCCCAACATTCATTTTTTACATTTGATTTAAAGTAAAAAGTCAGGAAGGTAATCAAATACCTTTTACTTTGATTCGTCACCAAGCTGAAAATTAACAAACGTCTGTTTTTGCTTTACGTAAGATTAACATATTACATTCGTTGCTATCATTTTTGTTGAATGAAAAAGCAAGAGGCAAATTTTTGTTAACATTGATTTGTGGTTATTAAAATTCAAAAGATAAGAGTTGGGTCGGCGCTCCGATGAAATAAAGAAACAAATAAACTTGTAATGTAGCAAGCGGTAATTTATAAATTTTATAAAGATTTAAATTAAAACGACATTTTGCGAAAAAACTAATGAATTGGCGGCCACAGTTACTATGAGATTTACGAAAAGTCGTAAACTAACACCAACCAAAGCAGCCGTAAGAACAAACAAACCGCGAAATGGAATATATTGTATACTGAAAAGGTGGCTTGTTTTGTGCCTTAGTCTTGCTGCTATACAGGTAGTATCTGTGCAAGATCGTTCGCAGGGCTTTGCGCAATTTTCCTTCTTAGAAACCTAAATAAAACTCTTCAAAGAATCTGTTTTATTGTCCTAATTGATTGATATTGATTCCTATTATACGTAATACCAACAATTATGGACTTAAAGCAAATTGTTCATTTTGCAAAGTTTGCCTTAGATAGTAGTTAAGTATAGATCACCTTCTTTTTCGAGATTCTTAAGAAAAATTTCTAAGGTCTGCTAAAATCACTATTTAAAACTCCTGCTGTAATTTTACTAACTGTAAAAGAAATGCTCGACAAAGCATTCGAATTTACTGGTATTATTTAATTTATTTAATGGAAGTACATAGTCATAATGTTGTGACAGTCGTCGTCATAAACGGCAGTTAGCAAAAAATTAAATTTGTGTGAAAGATTTAAAAATGTCAGGCGAAATATAGTACGTATGGAAGCATTACAAGAAAAAGTTCTATCCTTAAAATATTGGTCGGTCAAAACGTTTTTTGAAACTCGAAATAAGTAGTGTAAGGGGATTGCCAACGATTCTCCTCCGCGAAGCTCGATCCTCTTCCCTCAAATAGCATAAAATGATGTCTTCAAGCATTCTACCTAATATTCGTGTATTGATTAACCCTAGCGACTATCTATTAATATTTAATTTAATATTCAATATGACTTTTTTTGCTTAACAATTTTTCTATTCTGAAAAAGTTTTAGAAGAATTGGTATTGAATATAGAGTAAGTATGAGATAAAGATATATAGAGTAAGCCGATGAGATTTTGTTTATTTAGAACAAGATATTTTTGTTTTTAGTTTTCTACTGCAGTTGTTTTTTCTTAGAAATGCAACTTTGAGCAACCAATCCTAACTTAGAACGAGCAATAGTAACGCTCAACGCTACTCACTTTTCGTCCGACTTGAAGTATAAGAGACGGCGTATTTAATATCTGTTGTACACGTGTGAAGCAAAAAAAAAAGCGTGAATTACGAAGAAGAACGAAATCGTAAGTTAACTTCCAGATATGCAGTTACCTCAATCATGATACCTTATCATTTATTTAATCCCATGATTGCCCACACATACTTTATCATTTCTAAAAACTATGGAAACAAACTATTCGATCGACGGGAAAGTTCATTCGTATTTTACTGCCCCCAGGTAATTTTACTTGGCGCCTGAGAGGCCGAATAGGCAAAGTGTTTTGACTAACAATCCAATGAGCGTGGGTTCAAATTTCAAGTGCGGTAGAGAAATCAATAAAGCCGATAGTCTTAGATGCTAGTGCTTTAAAACTTTCTAAGACTCGGAATGTATTTCTCTGGGTAAACTAATAGTTATATTAATAATAAGAAATAATACTTCTCAGATCAAGGCAAACAGGTAGAATGCAACATGTGATGTCTTAGTATTTAGCCTACGTTTTGTGGGTGGATAAGAGGATCTTTTTCAATACTTTTCATCAACTAGTTACGAAGTGAGTAGTGAATACAGTCGATGAAGTACATTTAAGACATTGCATTTGGTACGAGTTGTTGAAAGGAAACTACTCGTTACTTGCGTGCATGAACTTGCGCAATGCATTGTTGAATTGAGTGAATTTGTAATTGTTCGAACCTACCAAAGATGGTCTGTCAAATGTCGTTCTGAAGATTTCAGTCTGTCAAAGAAGATCATCGGTTTGAGTAGCAAAGACAGCATGCGTCCATTTTGGAGAGAAACCCACATCCAAGTACTTCGCAATGGGCGTCCAACGCTCGAATCGTGAGGACCACCTCAGACATCTTTAAATTGAAATGTTTTATTTTAAACAGAACACAATTTTCCCCCCAATCTAGTATTTTGTAAGCTCATCTAAATTTGAAGACGGACTCCGCTGTTCACAAATCCTCTATTTTCTTTGTTTCTTTTTGTGGCTTGATGTCATATTCAGTTCAAATTTTTTATTTACTTAATTAATTAATCTATTGTTAATTCGATGAATTCTTGGACAAATTCTTAGAAAACCATTTCGAATATGCTTTCATGCTTTCTTCTATTTGTACGGGTAGGTAAACAAAGAATGAATAAAAGGATTAAGTTCAAATAAAGGTGTTTGAATGTATGTAATGCATTGCGTAGTATTCTTGCGGCAATAAGAAGCGAAGAGAGTACCACGGCTACCTAGTGAAATGTTCGTGATGATCTTTCTTTTTTGCCTAATACTCACTGCTGATTTCGCGTTTGCGAATTGCAGCACCATTTCCCATTTCCATCTTACACATTATTGTTTAGTTGCTCACTTTTCAATAAGATCAGAAAGGCATTTCTTGAAATTTTTTTTATGCGTTATTTAAAACGCCAACAATTTTATGTACAAAAGCAATTAGAGAATAATAATTAATCACATGGTCGATATCTGTTCTATAATCCAATCCATCCAATATTGAGTGCTTATATAAATACCAGGAGCTTGACCGCAGCCATGACCATAGGATACAACTCCAATTAAGTAATAACGTGTTATGCCTTTATAAAGCTGAACAATGAAAAAATATGATTAATAGAAGCTTACAACCGTTTATTCGGTTCACAAATGCAAATATATATAGAAAGCATACCTCCGGTATCATTAAAGGGCCACCTGAGTCACCTTTACATGTATCTTTGCCACCCACTACAAAACCCGCGCAAATCACTGATTCATCATACTCCTGTGCTGACGAATGAGGCATTAAAGTAGTATAAATTCGACGACAGACCTCATTTTCGAGAACTGGCAGCTGAACTTGTTTTAGGATAGGCGATGTTGCACCACCTTGACTGGTGTAACCCCAACCAGCAACATATGGCATTGTATTAACGTAAGATTTCGAGCGTAAATGACTAGACGTTGGCATGCAAATCGGAGCAATTAAGTCTGCCATAAACAAAAAAAGAACATCAGTCATATTGATCTAATTTTGAAATTTCTCTATTCGCCACCGAATTATACTCTACACCTTTTGTGGTACAAGGTTGTATTAAATTTATGCAGATATATGGAATACCCACAAAAAATTGAGATAGACCAGATCCACTGTTATTACATCTAAGTTTGTCTGTCCGTCCGTCCGTAATAACATAACAGGGTACAAAGTTTCATCAAAATATCTCAAAAATCATGGTTCATAGGTAGAACACCCGAAAATCCAACGGACGGACGGACATGCTTTAATCGATTCAAAATGTGATGCTGATCAAGAATACCTCTGAAGCTTCCTTCTGCGCGTTGCAAATGTTTTGACAAAATGAATACACCACTCATCCTTCGGTGATGGGTATAAAAATGAAATGAATATACGCTGGTGGTGGGTGGTATAAAAGTGGTAACAATTTGTCTAAATGTTTTTAACAGTTCACTTACCCGAAAAAGTAACAATTTTTTCCAACAACAACACAGCCATATCCGAACGTCGGTTTTTACCAAATTGCGGATGTATAGAATACTATATTAATGGAAAATTAACATTTTTTTCATAAGTCGGTATGCACTTAAGTTAAGTTAAAAATAAATTTTCTTCGATAAGTCGTATGTATATAAAGGAAGCAACATTTGCCTGTCACCATGATATTCCCTCCTTATCACCGTTTTGAGTATACACTTATGCTATCAGTAAAGTTTAAGAGGTAGAGTATTCAAACTTTTCCTTAAAATCGAGGGGAAGTCCAAAATATGGTATTTACATTCTTACTATCTGGAACTGTTTGATACAAACTTACACAAGATACTTGTCACTGTGAACTTGTAAGGCCTCAAAAAATCTGTCAAAAGATTCTGCCAAGTATGTATATATTTAGGTAGCGTAAAAATTTCAGTTAGTTTAGTGCTGTCTGTTTATGTTGAAAACTAAAAAAAGCTTAGCACAAAAATCGCCTGGATCGGCCCATTAGTACATTCACTATCGAGTTAAAAAAAATATTCTTAAGTTTCGTGCGCTTGCCTCATTAGCACATTAGCACTGAAGATTCGACTTCATGCCAGCATGTGTAGCTTTTGTAACAGTAGATCTTGTCTAGATATAGATGATAGACTGGGATTGATGAAAGATTTTCACTTTCAAAAATGTATAAAATAATAAGGCGAAGGTTGCTAGGGTAAAAGGATACGAGTTTGCTACGACATCTGCTTGTCTCTTTCTTTCGCTCAGTCTCCGCTTGTTTATGTTTGCTTCTCTTTCATTTTTATACACTTTACCTTTACAACGTTTACATCCATGTGTTCGGTTTCCGTTTCATTTGTCAAATCGTATTCGCCCAATCGAACAAATGATCTGAAATGAAGATATTTTTTTTATTATTATTTTATAGAAATTTTCGAAAGCACTTACAAATCATGGCGTATACAATGGGCAGCAGTAATGACGTGTTGAGCGGACACTAGAGTACCGCCACATCTAAATGGCCGGACACTCCAAGGATCGTAACCGATTAAGGCCATCCAAGGCCAGGCGCCAATTTCGCTATCGTCACCGTCAACAATTTTCGTAGTACTTAGATTTACAAGACCGCAACCCTCCTCTTCGCTCGGCAATTTATTGTAACGTTGACTAGCATTATTGTACCGATTATTAAGAATGTTCTTAATATTTATCTCTGGACAGCACACTATCGTCTTTTCCTCCCCACATAGAGTATGCGATAATCTTAGATATTTCTTAAATTCTTCATCTTCCGAATTTCGACGTAGTTTATTAAATAATTCCGGGCAATTTTCTAACGCTAAGGAGTTAAATGCAATGCAAAAGTGATAAATAATTAAAAGCTTTAATAAAAATAAAATAAAAAAAAAAAAAAAAAATTTTACTCACGTTTACAGAAACCGCTTTGAAAATCCGGTGTATCACATGAGGTATATGTTTCATTAGCAATGGATCGACTGCTACTATCGTTTTTTGGTTTTTTGGTGGTAGTAGTCGTTGATGAAGTTGTGCTAGTTGCAGTCGTAGTTGTAGTTGTAGGAGTTGTTACAGTAAGATCCTCATTATTATTACTTTTAACAATTATCGTGCAGCATACCTTTAAAAGGAAAAGTACGCACATTAGATGTCATTGTTTTCATTCATGTCGTTTAAAGAACTGCGCCTACCAAGGGATACTGATCTGGAGTGATTTGATTACCGCAAACACGTTGCGATTCCATTGAATACCGTTTGGCCATGTTTGGATGAACTCTGGTGAATAAATTCACAATTTCGGGGCAATACTTTAAAGATGTACAAGCGCCTATTTCGCCACTAGGCGTATAGCAAAAGTGTTCGCGATAATTGATAATATGCTGTGCAAATGTATCAAGATCTTTTAATATTAATAAAACGATAATATTTTTGAATAAATTAACAAAAAACATTTTCCGCAAATTTTATAAACAAAAATTAAAAATTCGAACCTTCACTATCGACTAAATTCTAAAATACTAGCAATTGAATTAGTTAATACTAAATTTATGTTTTTTACAACTTTATAAAACAAATGCAATGCTGCTCATCGATTATTGATAATAAAATCGTGTAAATGTAAATGCCAATAAGAATTATACATACCCATTTAGAACGAATCTTAGCTACCCATCATGTTAAATAAGATGCGAAATCTCAAAGCTTTTCGTTAATTATAATAAGCATTTTAATTGCTTATCACATTTTTTTCTAATTAATTAATTGATTTCACTGCAACTCAATCTTCGATCAATATCCCCGATAGCTTCTAACTTTTTATGAATCTTATTTTCGATTCTGTTATTATTGAACGCGCATTTATTTATGTGTAAATTCCCCCCCCATCCCTCATGCTTTACCTAGAGTTCGAGAGTATAAAAGTATATATAAAATGTGAAATTTCAACTGAAATTTCTCTTAATTTGCGTGGCCATGCGAGTTCCGGGTATGGCGTACGAAACAGCCGACTAGAAATTTATCTGATAAGCTCTCAGTTCTCAGCGCATTCCTGCTGCTTATTATAAAGGAGAAAACAAGACCAAACTGGATATTTTGTTACTTGTGCCTTTCCAAACTTCATATCATAAATAAAAAATTTATTATAATCAACGATTTGAAAATCTTCCTCATCTTTCATAATCATTATATTGCAATTAGTACTTAATATTCTTCCAATCTATTATAGATGTTCTCAAACCAGACAGTGAAACTAACATTCAAGATGATTTATTTAATAAAAAGTTTTTTCCTACACATAACGTCATAAGCTCGCGCTCATTAAGTAATCACACAACGCAGTTTATAAACGATTGTAAATATTATAACATTATTGCATCCGATTGAGAAGATTCTTGTCTGCAAAATCTTAATATAATAACAAGTAGAGAACTACAACTAAATAATTCTTTTCCTGAGAGAGAGAGAGAGAGAGAGAGAGAGAGAGATGTAATTATACAAAATCCTTTTTCATCTTTGGAAAACTGCATTCTTTTCTTGTTTAGGCGACTTATATTGTACACTGGTTCCTAAAAAGAATTCCTTTTATTTTAACGTAACGAAAGTAACCCATCTACAAAGTACTGTACTCCGTCGTACAGAAGCTTGCGAAAGAGCAGAGAGCATATGAAATATGAGACTTGAGTAAAAACCAAAACAAATTCCTAGAAATTGAAACACAGCATATACATGTAGCGCGGATTGTGTGAAAGAGAAGCTTTGTCTACGTCCCAAAAATTGTACGCGTTTTCCGATTGTAAAATAAATTTCCGGTTATTTGATTTTTATAGGATTAACAGTATTTATTAATACGTTGCGGCACAGTTTCTCTTCATTAAAGCAGTGAATCTGCTTATCTCTGTTTTGTTACGCGCAACCTAGAAGGAATTTGGACTCAAGTATAAACTTAACACTTCTCTTCATTTTCTTTGGCTGAGTCGATGTACAGATCTTACAGAATCTTAGAAATCTATGCGCTCTGTAATAATTTTTTTATTATGTTTTCGGATATGTTATCTCAGGTGTGTTAAGTGTATATAGAAAGGATATGCATACGTATTTTATGCTATAGTATACGGACTCGACTTTTTCGCAAAAAGATGTATTCCTGATCCGAATCCGCGTTGATATCCATCCTTGCTTGTATACGATATTTAACTGCGCAATAAAGCGAAGATCCATTTATATATGTTATCTCGTGTACCATGTATCGGGTATCGTTCAAATCATATTCTTATATATCTCTGCAAGGCTTTGTATAAACAATTGTACAAAATAAAGTAACAACAGATGATTGCATAATTCACATTGTCATTATGTGATGTTTAATCAATTTTGAAAAGCTCTGGGTTAGAATTAGCTGAAGCATATTAAACAGAAACTCTGCACATTGGTGAAGGAATCATCAGATTTTTCATAATTTCCTATTTTCGTATTAAATCTCATGTAAGCGATAAGAGAAAATTTACGATAACGTTTTGTCGGACAAAGCTTAGAAATGCTGACTACAATTTTAATTTGCGGACAGACGGACGACTTGAAATATCTATATCGATGCATCTATTCATGCCAATCCAGAATATGTGCATTTTATACCTTTCCCGACTAATTTATTTATGGATTACTCATATATATATATATATATATATATATATATATATCTACATATACATACATACATATGAATATATGAAAATTGAAAAGACCACAAAAACAAAATAAATCGTAAAAATCCGAGCAATGATATTCTTGATTATTTATTCTATTCATAATAGCTTATCATTAGGAAGTCATTAGGAAGAAACGGACGAATTACGCGTCGGATCAAAGCGTATTTTAATACACTTAACATTGCTTATAGATTGACAATATTGTTATTTTGTCTTAAGATTTTTCTATAAATGACGTTTTTAATTAAAATGCGAAATTTGTTAATTTTTCAACTCTGAATAATTACGTTATACGAGGGTCAACTGTTTTTTTTTTTTTTTTTTTTTTTTCTTTTCTTTTTCTCTTTTCCATTAATTAACAAAACAAAAAATACAATGCTCCATACATCAATGAAATGGTAAATTTCATAATTGATGACGTTAAGGGATTTGACAAAGGGGAATTTTCAGATGACTGAATTTTCATATTCATCATAGATTTAGCTAGATCCGTCAAAGCGCACGACACTTGTCAATCAATAAGTAAAACTATTTTACTCATCGGGTTTTTGGTCGAAAAAGTTTAAAGTTTGCAATTTTCTTCCATATAACGACTTTTTAAAATAAAAGTCTAATATAGGCAGTGGTCGAAAAAGTGAATCGAGCGTTCGTCCTTGAGTGAAAGCGTGTCAGTGCACAAAATTTCATCTCAATATCTCAAAAATTGCGACCTAAGTGTAAGTTAAACACAAGATTACATGGACAGATGGACAATCTAGTATCTAAAACGGCTTACTTTAGAAAAAAAATCCCGCAGTAATTGCATTATATTTTTTAACGAAAATCTTGAAATAAATTACATTTTGATGCAAAACATGTTTTGAGCTCAAATCGATGAATGAAGATTGGGTTAGTCTTGCTTATGATTTGCTTATGATCCTATTAAATTACAATATCTGTAGTCGTGTCGTAGTGAAAATAAGCGATTCATTTACATTTCTAAACCGGTATTATTTAAAATCCAATCCATATAAGAAACGACACGCGTATATACGCCAGGATATTCAGGGTTATTGCATTCTTTACCGAATGAAACAATGCCCACTAAGCTAGAAACCAAAGCACCGTCACGATTCTATGATCGTTAATAGAAAAGAAATAATAAATAAAAATTATTACGCAAATTTAATAAAATAAAAATGAAAATAATTACCTCTTGAAATATTAAAGGACCGCCAGAATCACTTTGGCAAGCATCTGCACTACCATTACCTGCGCATATTACCTGAAAGACAAATAATTTAAATTCAAATTTATTGGCTTTGTCCGATTGATGAAGTATGTGGAGTGCCAGTTGCACTATGCAGTTCTTTTTCTAAATAATTATTAACAAAAACCCCAAACGATTTCCACTATATATATCGTATGAAGTGCACAAATTTTGTTCGGTTTTTTTTTTTTTCTCTTTTCTCTTTTCTTAAAGTGTTTATCTTGCCTTGCAAAAGGCAAGTAATAGTTTTTCAAAATTCAATATTTTGCCTCCATTGGGAAGGTATCGGCCTAGTTGTAGCATTGTGCTGGTTATCGACTTTCCGAATATCGTCATAAGAATTGAAGTACAAATCGCACAGACAATAAGTGATAGTTTGTGATTCATATTGTTTCGAAGGAGTAATGGCTTATGAATAAAAAAAAGAAGGGGAGCAAATTCCACCCAAGCGAGGCTAATGCTTCCTTGACCAGTTTTGCTAAATGGTGTTCAAACGCCATCTCGTTAAGCAAGCAAAAAAAACAATAATCAAAGACTATGACCGGATCGTTTCGAAATTCGAAAAGAATAAAATTTCGATACTGTATCGATGGAATAGCAGCGCAATCGATTTTTCTTATTTTCGTTCGGGTATTGCTGGAGGCGCCTATAGAATTCACGGGGAATTTTTGTCGCTTTATCTGTTGTAGATTACGGGTAATGTAAAAAAAAAAAAATTAAATTTATTTGTAGCTACTCGCAATCTTTGGCGATGGGTGAAAGAATGATGCCATTATTGCGAGTTATATATAATGTATGGCTTTCCAACGATTCATACTTTACTTCTTTTTCCCATTTCGCTTTCTAACTTTTTATTATCACACATCTGTTATGTGCTACCACGATCTGCATTTTTTCGTGTTGCGTTGTTGTATACATGAGTGATTGACTTATATCACTGATATCAATTTACGTAATTGTGATGATACGTAAGCAACACGATGACGGGCAGGATGAAATGAGCAAATGGAAAAAGCTAGAAGAAGATGGCCACAACGTAGTGGGCGTATGCCCATTCCGTATGTGTTATGCCCTTGCCGACTGAGTATTACCCATACCCACAACTAAAGTAAACTGTAGCCACACTTGAGATTTGAATCCGCAAACATTGACTTTAATAGTCGCGACCCGGCGATTAAGCGTCAATGGCAAATATGAAGACTCAAGAGTCGAGGACGGCTATGCCATGTTAATAACAGAATGTTATCTATGTCTATAATAAATTGTATAGACTGAGTAGTTGATAAACCAACAAAAGAGTTAGGGACAATTTTCTTTAACAAAATCAGGATTGAGTGCAGGAGGGGAAAAGAAGCTAAGCATTAGTTTAGTGTACTGCATGGGAATATTAAAAACTTTTTAAAACAATCTCACCGCCATATTATTAGCGATGAGTCAAACTTTTGCAGCAAAAAACTTTTAAACGAAACTGTTGGAGTTCGTAGAAAACATAAAACAATGCATGAGCTATTTAAAATAAAAAAGTCAGTTTAAAAAAGAACTTGAATCGTAAGTAATCAGCGTACATGATGATAAAGCCGGCTTAGGTGCAAATGGAAGAGAAATAACAAACATGAGGTTTATACTTGGTTTAAAGCGGTTCTTCTAATATGCTAGAAAGAGATTTCTAACAAGTAAAAAGCGTTTGTTCCCCTTTACGGTAAATCACTGTCATTCCAATCCCGCGTAGATACAATACACATACACACACACTCACACACAATAAGTGCAAAAAACATTGTTGCGGAAATGCCAAATCCAGTTCATTCCAATTAATTGATTTTCCCAAATAACAAATTCACTGGAGAGGGAAAACCCAAGTTCCCATTCGCGGCTCGTCATGCAGCTGCCGGTCGGGGAAGACGCTTAGCATAAAAGCAGGTTAACGGATTACGAATGAAATTATTAACTTAGCTAATACTTGTAAAATTGCTTGTAAAAATGTATAGAAGTAGACTGTTTCCGGAAAGGCAGAATCTGTCCGACAAGAACATTTGAGCCTACAAAGAATATTAGACTTGAGAAGTCAGGAGTACTGCCAAAGTAAAATGTAAATAGTAGTGAAAACGTGCAAGTGTGTTTCGCTTATAGAAAGAATATCCACGATCCAGTGATACGAATTGTATCCGCGAAAAGCGAATTTCGTAACAATATTTTGTTAAATGCGATCGTGTTGATTAGAAAAGTTTTTCCAGCAGTTACACAAAATATTTGTACCATTTTTTGTTGTTTTGTCACAATGCTATATATTTTACGACAACTCTGATATACATTTCTATGTCTTACAAGTAGAGCAGTCCATATCATATACCGTCAACCTTCGAGGGTCTAAAATTGTGAATTGTGTGTTTATTAATTGCTGACGCTTGACTGACGATGGCTCCCTCATTTTAAACGTCTCTCTAAATATTTCTACGGACTAAGCCAGTTTTTAAACTAACTCTGCAACTACTAAATCTCCGTCTTCTACAATAATTTTTGCAATCGTGAATAATCTACTAAGACGCACGCCAACAGATGTGTGAACGGACGGCAAATAATACATAAACTCAACCTATTGACGATTGCGTAATTGGTTAAGTAATGTGGCTACTCTATAGAATCTTTTGGTGCCACCTACAGTGTAGATGCAATGACATATTTCAAGACTTTTTAATTACCCCATCGGTAAGTTCGAAGCCTCTGAATACAGTTGAATAACTTTTGCGACATTTCTCCAAGCTTACAATGGGCAGGATAGCCTCCTTTAAGACGTGCGAAAGCGGTCCTCCATAACGCGTGCGACCCCAACCGAGCACTACAGCAGGCTTACCCACAAAATCTTGATTAAAAAACATTGCATCTGTAGGTAGACAGATGGGGGAAACATGAGCTGAAACAGAAGCAAAAATTATATTCCTTCGCAAAGTTTCCCAAGTATTTAAGTATTTTGCTAATGCTTACCGTTAAAACTGATGGGCATATTTGTTTTAATCAGAGCTATATCGTTTGCTAGAATACGTCTATTGAATTTGGAATGCATAATAACTTGTTCTATACCGTACTCTATAATCTTTTCAAATGGATTCGCGAGATCGCAGGCACCAACTCGCACTGCCCATAAACGTGGCTTAAAGTAGCTTCCTTCAAGTGTGTCCACAACGCAATGGGCAGCCGTCACAACAAACGTATTGGATATTAAACAACCACCGCAACCCATGCCGAACCTCCATGCGATCCAATATTTTAACGCAACCATATAAGGGTGCGATCCTATAACATTAACAATAATTCGTTACGGCTTAATCACAACTCCTTCAGGGAAAACTTACCCAAAAACGTTTCGCGACCATCTACGATACGCGATTGAGGCGGTCGGGTTATACCGCATTTCCATTCGCCCTGATTCGATAATTGCAGTTCGTTACCTAACGCGAAAGCGAAAAAAATAGTTAAGACGCACACACGTTTGATATGCATATTCACAATTAGAAGATACATGTCATTAGCTGCGCTCTTTTATACTCAAGCACAATGAATTGTTCATGATTTTTGATAAAGGGACTTAGGCGCGTGTGTAAATAAGTTTTCTCTTATGTTCTTAGGGGTTTATGTCTTTAACGCAACGGCAGAATTATGAATGAAAGAAAGTATTATAGGAAAATTAGATTGAAATTGGGCCTGCGTCTCTAAGTTGCATTAATAGACTGCGCAGACACCTGCACAGAATACTTGGCTATTCACGTGTCTTGGAAAGCTAAAGCAAAGAAGGCAAGCTTTAATCTCTTCACAATAACAGTTAATTAGTTAATCTGCGCTTGTCGACCACGCTTCTAAAAAAGTCAAAATGCTAATCGTTCTATACCCTACACGATTGGAAACTTTTATTATATATGTGTGTATATCGTCAGCCAATATATGAAACAATAAAATTGAAAAAGTTGCCAAGACATTTTTTCATTAAGTAACTCTTTTAATGAACCTCGTTGGACCAATTGAATCCTTTGTTGAACATTTAAAATGTTTCGCCATTCTCATGACGCTACACTTTGGATACTTTTCTTGCTCATACAACTTGCTTTTGCATAGGTCATGCAGCTCGCAATTGAGAAAAATTTGAAATTGAAAGCTTGTGCCTGGACAAACAATCACATTTTCAGTCATGACATTTTTATATAAGCGTTTGTTTTTTCTTCGCACTGAACATTATAGATTCTACATATCAATTCACTTTCAGAACATAACCTCAAAAAAAGTAAAGATAATGGAAACCAGGCGAACATATTGCAAGATTTTATCAACGTAAGTAAAGATTGTTTTCAGGGAAAGCACTGCTGTTTGAAGTTTACATTTAAAGCATTAAATTGCTGTAAAACGCTAGAAAAGTTACAACCAAATCTCTTTTACCAAATAAGCTGCGTAGAGTGCAATCAAATACAATTTGAATCTTTTCTTCGCATTTTCCTTTTATTTAAGCGTAATATTACGTAATACATGAGAAATAGAAAATTTTGTGTACCTAGCAAATGCCGAGAGATAGTCAAAAGTAAGAGCAGATAAAAAATTGCGAAAAAAAAAAAATTTAATTTAATCTTGAAATTAAAAAGTGCTTTTAAGATTAAATATGAAATGATGTATTTGAACACTAGTTCTTTTAGATAAAATGAGATTGTCGCAGAGTTCAAGGGTATGCCTTAATGGCAGCAAATTTAACTATCTGATCTAGAATAAATATTCTTTAATCAACACATCTATCGCACAAAGTACGAATACACCTTTAAAAGTGTTGTGAGGCTTTCGTTTAAATTGCTCCGTTACTGACTCTACCATTTTAGGCTTACTTTAGAATTTGCATAAATCTGAAATTCGAAATACTATAACTAAGGACTGCTAGACTGATCATCTGCTCATCACATCACATCATTAGGCATGCTTTTGTGTATTAAAGCCAGCCGGACCATGCTGTAGATTGCCTAATACACATTTTATGAAATGGCATATGGCAACGCATAATGACGTACCACGGAATTGTGATTATTTGCTCCACGTAGGTTTTATTTACAATTCTTAGGAGATCTGCTGAAAAATTACTTACCGCGACTTATATAAGCAATTCAATCAATAATTCTTAAAGTTTTCTCTGTTCAACCGGTACGATCCAACTCTGTTGACTCCGCTGACCTGTGCTCTCCGCAAATACCAAATTTCATTAGAAAATCCTCACGCTAATCCTTTCTGATCTATAAAGGGTTCTGCGAATTGTTGTTAACCTTTCCATGAATCTTCACTTCACAGTTATTCACTTGTTTTGGTAATAAGACACCCAGAGTTACACATTATTTTCATGCAAAGGCATAGCTTTCGTGAAAGTCCACATAATGAACGATGACGAAAACGTCACTTGGCGTGATCTAAATTTAGCGAACTTAATCTACTTTCCAAAATTTTATTGTTTCTTAATTTCCGTCACAAAAAACTAGAAAATACACTTTCTCTCCATTGAAAGTATCATGCTTTTCATGAAAAACGCTCTATATGCTCGGATTTAAACAATAGACTGTTGCGATCCCTTCCGTTATCACGAATAAATTTTCATCAAAAACCATTAACAATTGGGGCTCTTTGGCATATAAAGGGTTAAATTGCCTGACAATCGCTCGTATCCGAAAAAATACATCCACGTTCGGTGAGGTTGACTTCTTCGTCAGCTTACTATTATTAATCGATTTTGATCGTCAAATAGTCGAAATTATACCTTTTGGCCGTATAGAGATTCATTTTTCGTTTCGAAGGGGGTTCAAAAAATTACCCCAGCCAAACCAAATTTAAAATGTCGAGTAACGATGCTATTACACGACGAGTTTTATCGAGAAATTTAGAAAACTGCAAAACTGTGTTCGTCCTTGAGTTGAAACACATCAGTGTAAGAGATTTCATCAAAAAATATCTTAAAATTTGTTTCAGACAATGTTTTTAAGCAATATGTAGTATAGTAAAAGGTGAAACATCTCTTATCTTAACATCTTTTGGATGTTACGTATGTCGGCATACACTGGATATACCGTCTACCACAAATGTTGTAAGGTATAACTACGAAAGAAATCATTGTAAACTGCAGTTTACAGTAAGCAAATCTATCTTAGTTATGAAATATAACTCTTTAGATGTAGACCTAAAATTTGATATAGATATTTATCCAATGCCCAATGCCAAAGTCTCGATCTCGATCGATGAACAGATAAAAACCTATACATGGTGAATGACGCACAAGAGATATTGAACTAATAGCTGATATAAATATCGACGATGGAATGCTTTTAAAATTCGGTGTTGAAAACATTCGATTTAATGAAAACAAAAAATTGCATTTAATTTAATATAATAAATATATATATAATTGATTAATATGTAATAATTCTGTTTTTTTTTTTTAATTATAATCAGTATTATTTTTAATCCAATCTAAATAAGAAGATATCCGTGTGTAAACTCCAGGAAAATTTGGTCGAGCGCATTCGTAACCATAAGAAACAATTCCTAATAAGAAATATCGATATGTCGCACCGACCAGCTACAAAAAATAATATTAAAAACAAATTGAAAACAAAAAATTAATGAATAATTAAGCAAAGTGTAGGAAAAGTAACGACAAAAAAAAAAATTATATTCGATTCCCATCGAATCTTTCATAATCGCCATATTTATCTGCAGAAAATAAACTTGAAGAAAATGGAGTTTTATTACTCTAATATATTGGATGGGCGTGGTCAATTTTTCCATCGTATCTGGAAGTTTATGTTGTTGCAGTTTATATGCATTGAGCATTTGCAAGCAGAGATGTTCGCAGCTAATGCTGCTCTATGGACGTATCCTTTGAACAATTTACCCTATATTCAATATCAAGTGTGCAATGTAAGAACGTGTCAAGAGCGGTAGAGTATTCAATAAAGCGCCACGACTAGCTTAGTTAGGTTAAGATTTTAATATTAGAATTTATTTCTCTGGCTAAACTAATGATAATAATAATAATAATAATAATAATAAAAAGGAAATAATTGAATCAAAACATACCTGTGGTAACATTAGTGGACTGCCGGAATCGCCTTGACAGGCATCCGCATTTACACTGCCGGCACATAACAACTAAAAACAATTAAACAATTTCAATTCAATGATAATTTAAAATGAAATTTTTCACTAACTTTTTCGGTAAACTCAAGAAAATTAAATTCGGATTTGTATTTCTGTTTACAACGTTCGCGACTCACAATTGGAACTTGAACATCCGTCAAGACAAATGAAGTTTTCCCGTGATGTTTACTTGCGCCCCAGCCCGCCAAGAATGGACGTAGACCCACGAAGTTATGGGTAAGAAAATGATTGCCCTCAGGTAAACATATAATAGCAATAAAATCTATTCGAATTCCACTTTTTATACAAATGTTCGAAAATGCATTCATTGCATTGTGCCCATGCATGTGCATTTGTAGCAAAATTCCGAGAATTATTCTTCACAATTGCTTCCCCGATCGCACTATTGCTCTGCATACAAAACAACCTTGTACAGTGAGTGAAATCTTAAAATTGGACTTGGAGAAATGGCAAAATGGCTCGTTCAACAAGCTACTGCTGCTCTTTGCTCGGCCATCGCAGCTCAAGTAAGATTCAAAACAGACCGAACAAAATTCTTGCAGTCTATAGATAGCGGATAGCGTAAGTTTAACATTGTTCAAGCAAGCATTGTTCAGAAGCATTTGCGAAAGTTTACTAAATATCGATTTTCGCTACAAATGTATGCTTTGGCGGAAACATTATAGTGCCTACCGCTTAGGTGCGCTTCGGTTGTTAGTTCTATTACAGCTACGTCGTTTGCTATAGTAACAAGATCAAAATTATCGTGAATTTTCATAGTCTTTATATGATAATCTCTTGCTGTGCTTTCAAAGACTTTCATCAAGTCATGCGCCCCCAGGCGAGCTATAGTAAGATTCGGGTTTATGCAATGCGCTGAAGTGACAATATATTTAAGAGTAATTAAGCTTCCGGCACATAAAAACTTCAATATTTCCCCACCACCGCCATTCATATCCCGATAGCCTAAAGCAGCTATCCACGGATAAGTGCCTGCCGGTAAATACTGTTCATTACAACGGAAACTTGTCCCAATGACATATTCTCGAAACATTACCTTGTTTGGCTACTGCTCCGCCCACCACTCGATTAATTAAACCGCTACTAATACCACAATTGTCTTTAAACTCGGTAACACCTTGCTCTAGAAATGGCTGAGTGATAGTGAGCAAGGTTCCTGTTTCAATTATTTTAAGCGGCTGAAATCTAATCGATTCTGTGAGAACATTATTAGCAGCATTTGGTGGAGGAACGGGGGGTGAGCCATTGTTTCTATCATCAACATCGGACAGAGGAGCAAATTGTAAAATACTTGGCAGATGAGGATACCGCGATGGTTCGAGCGCATGCAAGAAATTCGTGTGCGATTCCGATGCTATAACGGAACTTTCAAATGCATGCATTGATTGAAATTGCACGGGTATAGTTCCAACGGCCTTTTGATTCAATCGTTTGCTGCAACAAATCTTTGAGAAAATTTTAAGTGCATTTAATATAATAAAAAAAAAATTAAAAAAAACAAGCAAAAAAAATGTTTAATTTCATTATAAAACATACCAAAAAATGTTTACCATCAAAATCGCATATCCTTTGGCCAATGAACGTGTTAAAATCGATTGCTTGAGGCGATTTTTTAAGTTCATTGTAGAACTCTTCTATTAGATCAGAACATTCCGTGATTGGTGTACATTTGCTCAAATGCAAATCACTTCCAGTGCAAGCTTGACCTTTTCATTATCATACCGTTATTAAAGGTAATAACATAACTTTCGACTTTGGCCGAACTTTTCATATTCACCATCTACCGTTTACGTGGACTAAAGAACCCTTTTATGCGTTTGCATGGAAGAGGAGAAGAGAAACTAAAGAATAAATAGCAGCCCGAAATATTATTATTCAGTGATTTTTATTTAGAAATTTTTTAAAGTTGAAAACTTGCTCATTATATGGCGAAAATGAAGGGACAGACGGACGGACGGCTTAGACAGACAAGCTTAAATCGATTCAGAAAATGATCAGCATAATAATTGCTTTTGGGTGCTGCATACCTCAGCACAAAATTAGTATTAGTATATCCCATGTCACCCATGTCACATGTGGTGTAAATCGTGTAAATTATCGGGATAAGAAAGGAGGAAAATGAGATAAAAAAAATCAAACAAATATCAAAATATTTTCATTGCGAATTGTAACGAAGATCAGTTTGAAACTTTTTACTCGACCCGCTGAGCGGGATAGACAATAAATGCAATAAAATCAAATTTTTGTGCGTGATGGGACAAGACTTCTTATTACGTTTCTAACTGCTCTACGCTCCGGTGTCATCGTTAAAGCGAAAGAAAATGTAATGCCGAATCATTATGTAATATAAGTCGTTATTGCACGATTTTATTGGAGGCATAGTTTCATTACAGTCCTATGGTATGATGGATAATATGAACGATGGATAATGTAAAGCTATTGCTAGCGCACCAAATCTTCTTCTTAATGTAAGATTTTCGACATATACAAAATGTCCGATTACTATGAAGATTAGAAAAATCAAGAGAAAATTGAAAAGATTCATTTTCCCTCCAACTATTGATAACTGTTATTATTATTATTATTATTGTTATTGTTATTGTTATTGTTATTATTATTACTGCTATTTATTCATTTCAATCACTTTGTGCTTTCACTTGTGTGCTGCGTTTCGTACGAATTCTTGCAAATTTCGCATTATCCAAAGGTGAGAATATCATTATGTCGGGATGCTGTTTTAACCGATTTTTCTGTTGACGGGGATCTATGCAAGGACAATATGATATAGGACTTTTACCATCGGTTAAACACATCAAAGGATATGCTGGACATGGTGACAAAGTAGTTGTCGTTGATTGAATTATAGTTGATCCTGTATTGTTGAAATTTAGCTCAGTGCTCGGTCTAGCTGTTGTGCTCACGGCTAAGCTGCTCGTTTGTGTATTCGCTGATTGATTCGTCGGAGTCGAGGATGTTGTCGTCGAACTTGTACTTAACGTAGTGATAGTAGCAGTAGTTTGTGTTGCTGTATAATCCGGACAAAGTCCTTTAATATTCGCCAAATAGGCAAGCAACGGCCATAATGAGATCCTTAAACACAAATCATTAAGAAACATTTCGAAAACAAACTGAAAAACGGCAGCATTTTCTGTGCCAGTTCAAATGTTTACTAATTCATAATTCGATTTTAGGAAAAATCGTTGAATTAATAAAACACTTCATGTGTGATGTACCCGTACTCGTGCTCGAAAGCTTATTGTTTCGTAAAAACAACAGTACACTTAATTCATGCGTCCGCTGACCAACGTGATTGATCAAATATTTTTATACCCTACACCATCGGTGGCAAAAGAGAGTAGATGAAGTTTGCGCAGCGATTCATGTAACACCCAGACGGACTTGAGATAGATCCAGATAGTTATTATATCGATCAATGTCGCATCATTTTATGGATCGCTTTAAACTTGCCTGTCCCGGTGACCGTCTTATATTCCGATATATTTCAGTCCAACGTCGAACGCTAATAAAAATTCTTCGCTCTACTCGTTAACGACTCAATTAATGTATTAAGCGAAGCTGTTTAGGGTGTTTGATGGTACGCAGTGGCCCATTATAGACTTATTATATATATTTCGAACAAACAACAGGATGTTCATTATTTTGTTTTACGTTCTGCCTTTTGTGTTCTAATCCAAACATCATATGCAATTATTCTTTTAATGATTTATGATGTCGACAATTATGTTCGTACATTTGCATATATCGTACATTTGCATATATTTGCCATAGCAGTTAAATGAATCGATTTAATTACAATGTGTTCATAGTTTTGTAGCTCATTTAATCCCCTACATAATCACCAACCAATCCCAGCTTGCAAGGCGTTTGCAATGTATTTGATGAAATACAAAAAACTCTTGGCCGACTTTGCCCATAAGGCATTGAAGATCTTCAACTCACGAAATAGTGGTTACCAATGTAAAAATAATCGATTACGAATATGTCCACGCTACTGCTACAATCCGGAAAAACTTAACAAAATCTATTCTTACGGGATTAAAAATTTCCAACAAGAACTACGCTACCGGAAGTAGAAATAAACTTTAACAGTGCTTTCGTTTCTTTCTTTCACGGAAAGAAAGTCTCGAACATGTAGACCATATCAATGTGTTGTATGTAACGGTGACGATGAGCCTCATTTTCGATGAACTTTTAAGCGAAATTACATTGAGTTAAAAATTAATGAAGGTTGAAGTTTCCTTTATTCAACAAAATTAGTTCAGTTTCCGAGAACTAAATATGGATATCGCTCTAGCGTATTGCAATACAATGACGTCAAGAAGAGCAAGAAGAAGTTAGGAGGACACTAGAGTTCATTCTATGCGTACAGATCCATAAAACTCGTAATTTAAACCAATTATGTTAAATTGGCAAACTTCTACATCAGATCAAGTTGGAAAGATTGACCAGATACAGGCAGGGTTCACTTTAGCTAAGAATGTCACACCTGGATATTATTTATGGATGTTAACGAACCATCATACAAATTTGTCCGATACTGAGACAAGTTGCACGCGTCATGTCACGTCACACGCAAGGACACATCTTAAAAAAAGAAAACTTCTGAGCAGATTCAATAAGTTCAATGTACCCATTATAACTTGATGCCCATGGTGGTATTTGCCACAGATAGAATCTGCAAATGAACGGATCTATAAGCACTTCCAAACCATTGAAGAATGCAATTTTATCAAGCCCATGGCAATGTAAATAGTAATTAATAGATAACGGAGTAGACTCGGATGGTGGTTCCGGTCGAAAGTCATAGCATTATTCTCGCGCCAATTCGATAACTCAATGAGATTGTACCGCAATACCAAACTGTCACTTACCAAGTTAAAGGAGCGAAAGATCTTGATAACGTCGGCGAACACTAAAACATTCGTAACTTATTATATTATTACATAAGTAAGATTTTTTGTTTTTCTGTTCAATTTATATATTAATTTTTCGAATTATTTTTAAATACAATAAAAAATGTATTTTGAATCATTTCAATATTTGAGCTGTAATTATATATGCTTGTATGTTTATTAATTGTTGTTGCAGTTCAAATATAATTTAGCTTTATTCTAAAATTAAAATCAAATTTATTCGTTTAATAACATAAATATTTGAAAAGAAATAAGTAAAAATCCCATTTCATACTTACTCTCCATAAGCCTGAAAATTTGTCCTAACAATTGCTCGTTTGAACATCAAAGCAGTCTTTACTACTGCCACTGCCGGTGAAAATGTCTGTCAATTGACCTGATCTACCCAAATCAAAATGAAAGCGTAGTAATTTAAACAACTGTGATCTTCCGTTGAACCTACTTGAAGGCTCTCCGTACATGTCCAATTTTATAAGAAAATATTACGCAAATACAAAAACAACCTCCAATTAGACATACATCCTAATAGAAAGATATACAATCACAATGTAAATGCTTTAAACAATAGGTATAATTATATATCTTCTGTTTTGTTATCCCGGAATAATAAATATTTTGAGTTTTGTCTTTGCATACTTTTAAAGTTCAGTTACCTTAATAAATGACGATGTTTCACAGATGGGTTCAGCAAGCGAAGCTACGTAATCTGAACTTAATCTGTTTGAACGATCAGTCGGTTATTGATGATGAGGATGTGAGTGCTAAAGAAATTTTGGGCAATAATTCGCATGGTAATGAGAGCGCTTTGCCTGGCAGCGAACAAGTTATATCGAAATCCTCTGCCAAAGTACTGCGACGGAGTAATCACGTTTTTGATTTGAAAAGAACATCGCCCAAAATGAGAAAGGTTCTTCAAATAATAAAGCTTAGTATACTAAACTCGAACTCGAAAACCCATTGTGGTGCCGCAGTGAACGGAATTCATCTTGAGCAACCTGATATAACCATCCGGATACTTGTTAAGAACCGCCAAGGTATTGTCTTTGAATTTAATAACCCATCCTCTAACAAACACATTTCACTCCATTCGCTTCCTTTGGAACCCACAGTTAGAGGCATTTCTCGCGTAGGTTAGAAAAAAAATATAATTTGTAAATTCATGTGCAAAGACACGGTAAAAGAACCATGCCTACCTTGCCCTGGTGAACTGGCTTTATACTGTTTACATTATTCGAGAGCTCATCCCAACTAGGCACTATTTTATTGAAATCGTTCTTTCACTCTCCTTATAGCGGCAGCAATGGAGAACTACGAAGCGGCTTATCTTCCACCCTTAAGAAAGCTACGTATTCCCTTCTAGTCGCTATATCGGCGTAGAAACTGTTAATTCTTAAAAATAACTGATGGGCTCCATGTGCGCACTATGAAACTGAAATTAACAAATTGGAGAAAAATTATAAGAATTGGAATCTGAAAAAGTCAACGCTGAGAACTTGTCAGTGTCCTGAATTTCATTTCCAAAATATACATCAAATTAGCTGTTAGAGTTATTCTTGCGAGAAGAATTGTCGTAATGTATGTCGGTATATAATTTGTAATTGTTGCTATAAGAAATCGAAAAATAATAACTTATATATATGTACAAATATGTATAAAATGTATGTACAATAGTTCCTCCATAAAATGGACGATTTTAGAGTATGTTCAGCACATCAAACCCTAGGGGAAATACATTAAATAATATTAAATTTTATATTTAGTTATGTCAAAGTTATTATAAATGGAACGTTTATTTTTTTTTTGTCACCAGCAACTGAAGTCTCGCTAACAATAAATTTGACACAAGTTTAAAGACTCGGTTTGATCCCTTGACCATTTTCATTGCCGTGGGACTAAAGTTGGTAAAATTATGATTTAACCGGTCCGTCTGCACAACCTGCTAGCAATACACACGGAAATAAAAAAAACCAAAAAAGTCTTAGCAAGATTTTGTTCGACATTCATATGTTTATTTATTTTGTTTTTTAATACATTGCTTTTATAACAAATTTATCTAATTCGTTTTAAGAAAACATAAATAGTTGTATTCAACTATCACCCTTCAAGTAATTTAATGATATGTGGTTTATTAAAATTTATTTTGTCTGAAGATAAAACAGTTTAATATTTCAAATAAATATACTATAAATTATAAATTACATGGAATTCCAATGTCAGCGCGATTGCCAAGGCATTATTAATGTTAATTTTGTTTTCTTGTTTCTTATATGAATACTCAAAAGAGATGGAAGTCTTGTGTAACTCTGTTGTGTCAAAATTGGTTGTCAATAGAATATTTTCGATATAAAACAACTCTATTAGAGATGGACAAATATTTTCATAATATTGAAGCAATCTTCACATATCTTATAAGCAATCAAAAAATAGATATTTATAATATTTGACGAAAATTCCTTTTGTCTCTTTGGCAAAACATTTCGTTAGTTCAAATTATTCGGTAGTGTTTATTGCAATTTGAATATATATATACATAAAAAGAGACTGGCTACTCTAGTTATCATAATGAATATATCGATAACTAAAGATATGTTTTAAATTGCGATGCATAGGTGTTATTTACAAGAATTTGAGAAAAAGTTTAGTAAATTTTAAAGAAACTTTTTTGCCTTTCTTTAAAATGTTTTATTTAAATTTTATAATTTAATCCTTTGTATTCTATCGTGTTCTCTTGAACATTATTCTTATAATGCAATAAAAATTCACGAAATTTGTTTACTTATGCGATCCCTCTGATCCAGAGACTCAATATGAATAAATGCAACTCTCTCAAAAAAAAGTGGTTACTGCCAACATACTAAATAAGTATGAAGCAATTTCAATGCAACACTAATCAACGATTCAATTGTGCTAAATTCCTATACGCCCCATTCACTTTTAAGTTATTATGATATATATAAAATTGCATCGATTTTGTCATAAAATTTTAACAATATTCATGGGAACAGTGGAATTTTAATACGTTCTGTAAATGCGTGGTTATGTGGTAAATGATGAGGATAAATAATATCGTTGATTTTCTAATTGAGAAAGTGCTTTTAGGTTCTAATTCGAGCACCCTTGAAATGACAATCAATTTATAATTTAATTGCAACATGCCGAGAAATATAGCTACAAAGAGAGCTGCTTCCAAAACAAATACATGCGTAAATTCATCTTCGAATACAAATGGGCACTCAGATAGTAAAAAGGTCAAGAAACTAGAAGGTTCCACGGCAGTATCATCGGAAAAAGTGTGTCACAGGAAGTCGCAACGCCGGAGAATAGCAAGAGATATTTTTTTGGTGTTTGAAGAGCAGCCAAGTACTCGACGTTCTCGCGGTTCGACAAAAAAACCATTAAAACCAAAGTTTGGCCACTTGAAGATAGGAGAAACAGTTAGATCGAAAGGTCTGCTACGCGATATTAAAAATGAAACAAAATGCAGTGTAAAGAGCAAAATATGCAACTCAAGTTCTTCAAAAAGCATCAAGGGTGAAAAGCTATGTGTATCTTCTTCGATCGGTAATGAATGCTCCGTGAATATAACTAAAATTGCGGAAGTGAAACGTGATATGTCCCCAGTCTCACATTTATCAGGTAACGTCCCTATTGCGAAAATAAACCCAATTTTTTTGTGGGTGAAACAGGACGATACGCGAATTGTAGAAGTTCGCTGTGAGGATTATGATAAACGTAATCGAATTCGAATTACTAAGACGTCGAACGGATGGCGAGCAATTCCGTGTACTGATCCAAATTCGTCTAAAATTGTAAAACTGTACTCCACGCCATTTTTAAAAGTAAAACGCGAAATTTGTCAAGAAACGGTCCAGCAAATATACCAGGACCATAATTTGCCAGAGAATTGCCTAAGTTCGATGAACTTCAGGGAGGTTGCCGAGAATGACTTTGATGTGAAATCCAGTACGGTTGCAATTAAGGACATAAATAAAAAGAAAAAATCGAAGAAGCAGAAAAAAAGGAAAAACAAAAAAATGTGTTTATATGATAACTCTATTAAGATTCAGAGGCTTTCATCAGTTGAATTATCCCAAACTGCCTCTGAAGCAGTTACAATAGGGTGTGATATTGACACGACATCCCAAATCAACCTGTTCGAGGAAAACGTCGAGAAAATCTCTGATTTGCCACAATGCTCTGAGACTTATTGTAGTGAGACAGACTTCGATATAGCTTCAGATAAAATTTTGAATTCCATAACAAATTCGCTCTCAAAACAGACGCTGGACGTCGCACCCGCGGAGACATATCAAGAAGAAGCTGGTCTAAAACCTAATTTGCAGTTGTGTCCAAAAACAGGCTTATTTTTACCAATCAACCAGAGTCTGACAAACAAGTTAGAAGAGAATCATGGTTTTGACATGATTGACAGCACATGCAGCACAGTTTTATTGGTACCAGAAAATTCAGACGCTAACCATCAAGATTCTTTAGTACTAGATATTTTGGAGAATACGTTACGGGGTGTAGAGAGCAAAAGAATTTCAGAAGATATCGCAGAGAGTCTTGAAGCTAAAACAAAAAATTTAAAAGATTTGTTGGACGATGCTGATCTTCTACAGCACTGCGACGATAATGCCAGCAGTGACGCCGAACTCATAGATTCTTTAATGAAAACCAGTTGTGAAAAGAACTTGATCGACGATAGCGAAATTTTAAAAAACAAAACAGAAATGAAGATTCAACAGCCCGAAGAAGCAATTTCCACCGTGGATGAGACTCCTAAGTGTCTATCGTTTAATGAAGCTGGAGAAATTGAGGGCATCAGTGACCTTTTCCAAGCGAACAACTGCATAGAATCATTTGGTAAACAGGCAGAAAGTAATCAAACAAGGATTCAACAAGCAGAGTCCAATTCTTGTGAAACGATGCCACTGATAGGTGCGTTAAATGCAATCAGCAACTCTCCTAAAGATTTGAGTTACAAAAAACGTGAAGAAGTCTGTCCGCCGTCCGAATCGCGAAGTCAGTGTGCGGTTACGTCTAGTTCAGATGTTATAAAATCACCACGAACAGATGATGAATCTCTATTGGCATCAACGTCTGTGTCCCTTAAAAATCTACTTTTCGAACAATTCATGAACTTGAATACTTTAACGCATTCACAAAACGAGCCTATCGATTTAGGAAAGCAGAGATTAAATACAAATAATAATGTGTTAAATAGTTTAATAGATACTGTTGTAATAGAGGAAGATGATGACAATGAGCCAGCAAGCAAACGATTTCGAAGCTTACTTAATGGCGATGTTAAGGGAATGGGAACAATGAGCGATGAAGATCCAGATCCATATACTCAACTTCAATTGCTGTTACGAAATTCTCAATGGAAAGTGCCAGATCCGATTCTTGTGCCAAAGGATCGTTTGGGTGCTGTATTAGCCTCACCTGCTCGGGAAATTCCACTCCTGATAACAACTCGTCCAGAACTCAGATTGCCAGAAGCTTTTGCATATCCTGAAATAATTCAAAATCCGAATATTTTAGTTATTTCAATGGCCCAACTAGAAGCTATACTTAAGAATGAAGCGGAAGTTGAAAAGACTAGAGCAATAAGCACAGGACAATCATCATCATTAAATACATCACAACAACACCAATCTGTGCCCTTTAAAACAATAAATGAAATAAGTAAATTTAATTGCCAAACACCTCAAATTCCCGCTCAAACTAACAATGTTATTGTAAATGATGATATCTCATCCAAAACGGTGAACAAGAAATGCGTCCATGTGGACTCAAACTTGGCATCCGGTATAAATGCTGCAACTTTGGCGGTGCTGAATCAAGTCTTCTGGCTTCCTTATTTTGGGCAAATATCGCAAGACCTGATCAGTTCTTTGGAAAAACCGTTAGCAATGCAACAACAACTTCCAAGTTTTTTACCATTTTATAATTCCCAAATGGAGTTACAACATCTGGAAGAAGTCTATAGAAATTATTTAAAACAAATTTCGCAAATTACGAATGCTGGCAACGGCGTGGTCCATTTAAAAGCAGAAAATGCGCATGAAAATACCCAAGGTTTGAAAAATGTTTCCCAAACGCATTGTCAAAGTGCTTTAAATTCAAATGAAAAACAACTGCGCCCGTTAAGTTATTCCACGCAAGCCAGGCAGAATAGCGATTCGGTTAGTTTTAAAAACCAGAAAAGGCCTAAAAATGTACTCTCATGTGATATGCTTTCAAAATCCACGATGCCCTTAAACGCTGTTGAGAAAAGTCCGTTTGAGATTGATGGAGCGGACAAGCTTTGTAATGCAAAAGATATAAATTCAAGTCGCCGTAAAACGCAAATAAAGCAAGGGGTGAATTCTCAAAAAGACATTTCCGAAAACAAGCCCCGATTAACATGTAAATCACTTGCACATTTATTGGATCCTGGTCACAAGCAACAAAATAGCTTCTTGTCATCGTGTGAAAATGCTACTACTTCAGAAGCAATAGGACTTCAAAAATCGGGCAATAAATTTCGACCTTTCGTGGCAACAAATAAAAATGTATACGGAGCAGCGGACTTGAATGAATTGGCGCAGTCTAGCCTCAGGGTAAATTCGGACGTTATAAACGATACCAAACACCAAAGAGGTAATACTAATGTAAACTCAGATTTAATCCATCAATCACGGTCTATTGATGGCGGTGGAAATATGGATGCGGGTACACCGCTATGGCATCCTCTATTTGGAAGGTTCATATTATAGTTTAATTTTAATAAATTTTAAAATTAAAAATTTTTATTTGTAGTACTTCAAAACCTGGATATTGCAGTCCATGGCAGTGGACCACTGTAACGGCAACCGGTGAATGACAATCAAGGGCTCTTAGTGGGCCCACATTTAATAATAACAATGAGCTGGTCGACTTTTATGTCAAAGATAGCCACAATTGCAACAGAAGCAACGACAACTTCATTACCAACAAAACAAAAACCTCCTCAAATATAACAGTAAATGCCAATAGTAAATGTGTGAATGCTATACCTGAAACAGAATCACAGTATTCGTATCCTTATGAGAGTATGTATCAAAAGCAGATCACACATGAATCAGCACCGACCACAGAAGAGTTACAACCCACAATGTACCCCTATAAAGAATTAGATAAAAATTTATATAATACAAATAATTGGAGCCAAAATCAACAGCAAAATTATCCGTGGACAACAAGCAATAACGCCAATGATGTCTTATATTCTTCATGCTCAAATCGAAATCAAGAATTTCAAAATATTTCACCATTTTATATGCGATTTAATACCTATCTGCCACAAACAAATTTCCAATAACCGATAGTACGATTTTGAGAAAATCATTACTAACCGCCGACAGTAATGAAGAGGTTTTGTTCTTTGTTATTTATATTTATTTCTTTTTAATCAATTTTTTGTTGTTTTTTTATTTTTATTTTTTATATAAGTCGATGAAACGTGGTTACCATTCTTCCATTAAATTAACGCCTTCAACACAACCATATATAAGTAGTAATATTATCACCTAAACGCGAAATGTTGGAATACTTGCAAGTTCTAATAGAGGAAACCGTAATTTCATATTCTTAAAATAGAAATTACTTTATAATTAATTAGTGCACAAAATTGCATATTATCAACATCTAGAGTCAGATGACAGACTGTTTCAAAGCGAAGACTTTTTGCTAACACGAATCTATATATATATATATATATATATGAGACTCACGTTACCTTGGATAAGCTAACTAATTTCTGATTTCGTAACACTAGTTTGCTTATTCGGTTGTTAACGTAAGTCGAAAATTCTTTATGAATAAGAAACTTTCAAAGTAACAAGTTTACAAAGGGAACAAAAGAGTAGTAATCATGAGAAATGTGAGAAATGTGGACAACTTTCGATGACGAATTGATTACGAAAGTTTCGCATCAATCAATCAATCAATCAATCAATAAAACTTTCTGATGCCGCAAAAAGCATAACGAAGTTACGCTCACTGGTACGGCAGATATTGTTTATTTATTTTAATTTTTAATTTAATTTCTTTCGCTGTGTGAGAACGTATGACGTATACAAACACAAAATTCATTCATATACACATAGATATTGTAATTTTCCACTTTCCTAAAATTTGTGTTTTTTGCTTTTATATAAAATTTTCACATCCGATGGTTATATATAGTAAGTTTGTCGATATGTAAAGCGCATATATTTTTGATTAATCTAAAATTCTTATTCGATTTAACTGCCCTCGTTTATCTTCTGACACTTTAAAAACTATCAAAAATTGAAATTTGTATACCGCAGTAGTATAACAAATGTCGAATGTTAAAATTGTCCCTACTTAAGCAATTCATGTCGTACATCATAATGAGGAAAAATATGACTTTGCTTTAGTCTCAAATTTAACATGGCTCACGTGTTAGCAAAGAGACATATTTAAAAAATAAAAGTTTATGGTCAAAAAACACACGCAGATTTACACATGAGCGTGATGTTGCATTCATTTGCTAAATGCATTACAAACGAGAGAAATTTCAAAGAGCAAAAAAAAAAAGAAAAACTTGAAAATTTGCATTTGCGGTTTTTGCGAAACTTCAAAAACAGACGACAGACGAATACGGCAAAATCGAATCCGAATTGCTTGCTGATCAACAAAATATATACCTCACAAATCTTTCGAGTGTATTTCCCTGTATACATGAAAACGGAATAACATATATAACTTTAGTATACCTCTACTCTTTCGTGACGGGTGTTATATGCTGAATTTGGTAAACATATTTACACAAAAATTTGATGCACATTTGAATTTTACCTTCTTGCTAGAACTAAGGATGTATAGATAGTATGGGTAAACTTTTATAAGAATTTTTTTTTTTTTTTTTTTTTTTTTTTTTTTTTTGTATCTAGTAGGAGTGGCTTTCATTTTATGTGCACAAGCCATTTTGGTTTTCATAAAAACAAAAAACACAAAAAAAAAAAACAAAAAAAAAAAAGAGAAAAAAGAAAATTGTAAAATTTTGCAATATACACTAAGGGTGCTATCTATATTAAGTCTATTTTATATTTTAAAATCGAAATGGGGTAATTGGAATGTTAAAGGGTACTTAGTACAGTGCTTTTTTTAAATCTTTTGTTATTTTTTTCTTTAGAAAATTGGATTAATAAAGTGAAATGAAAAATTTTGAAGAGATAAAAGGATGAAAGAAATATTGCTCTCAAATCCCCACCTAAATGAAATGTACAAACTTTGAAAACAAAATCGCAGTAAACATTTCGGGTAATGGATGCCAAATGTTCATAATAAACCGGTGTAGAATTTTGGCATAAAATGCCGTAATTCCATTTTGCTTTCCATTTTTTATGTTCCCACCACAGGCGTAATGATAATATATTCATAACGATTTCCTATAAAAAATTTGGCGTTTGCCTTAAATGACCTTAGAAGTAATAAAGATTTGTAAAAATGAAAAAAATCAATTCTCTTTTAGTCGTCAGGCAATATACGGAATACGTTCGACGCGTCGGGTCGCACTTTTAATGACTTGAAATGCAATAAAAGTCTATTTTAAGTTACGGTTAGTTGTCAAATTTTTTATTTATTGCATTATTATGCTAATCTGAAATCTCTTTCTATATACATATATATATATATATCAATTGTCCTTTTCTTAAATGTACCTATTAATCTTCTTGGGTAAGAACATTTTGCTTTACATATTGCTCTTGTGTTCTCTTCCTTTTGCATCCTTTAACATTATCTTGGAGAAAAATCGAAATTGTAAAATGCTCTTTGATATAGTCTCAAATTTTTTTGCATAGGTTTGAATTGTAAACCAATCATCTAATGTTTACATTTCAAGATCCAGTTGAAACAGTCGAAAAATTATTTTTCATTTTTTTTTTTTTTTTTTTTTTTTTTTTTGTATATTCACCGCTTTATTATTTATTTATATCCAATATTAACTTTGTTGTTTCTTCAGCAACTGTTTATTGGCATAGCTTTGTTAGGTCGCTCTAATTGAGTTGGTATTTGTCTTAAGTTAAACGAGAAGAAAAAACAAAAAAAAAAAAAAAAAAAAAAAAAAAAAAAATGTTATAGCTTAGAGTGTTGCAGAAAATTTAAATAAAGCAATTTTCACTGTTAATTTTTTAAAACGGAAAAAATATAACCGAACATATAGAGAATTTGTTTTCTTTAAAAGTATTTTATTTATTTATTTATTTATTTATATTTTTTTGTTTTTTGTAAATATCAAATTAAAAATTGATATAATTGTAAGTATGAATGCAGAAATTAATCCACAAAATCATCTCTGCTCATATTTAGTTTGATTCAAAAAATAATTCAAATAAGAATTTTCGAACATCGGTCAATTATTGTTATTTACGATAAACGACGTAAATTATGCGTAAATAAGTAGGCGGGTCATATTGGTCGGATATGCTCATTACCTCAAATAAATGATGAATTTTTGTTTTGTTAATACCTAACTCATCGATCGGAAATCGCTAATCAAGCCAGTTATTAGTTTAAATATTTCTTGGTTATAACTTGAATTTCCCAGATAATGATCGTATTGTTGTTTGGGGCTTTAAACTTCTTAGTTATTTACCTTTTTACCTCATGTGATATATTTCTAGTAAATATCAATGGGGAAAAGAAACCTGCAGGTGTTCAGGGTAATTTTTTACTGAAGAGTTAAATAAGTTTGATATATCCATGTTTTCAAATTTCACTTCGATCAGGTACGATCGATAATATATATATATATATATATACATATGGCAAATTTCTATGCCTTACATGCAATTTTTTAATCTTGAAGAGTTCCAATAATTGATCTAAGACGAATGTGGAAAAGTGAACTGTTAATATCGTTTAAAGGTACACTTAATATGTATAAATATTAGGATGAAAAAACGATTAAATCAATTATATGTGAAGATCAAATGGAGGAAATTCCCCTCTTTAATTTACATTTAACACTAGAATTACGCAGGTTTTGCACATACCTATTTCCACCAAAAGGGACCATTTTGATCCCCTATATTTGTCGTAAAAATAAAGATAGGGTGCCGAAATTTGACACAAACGGAACTCAAATTTTATCGATCGGAAATACTTTTGGACTGACAATGGGGGTGAGCCTGACGAACGTTTGGGTCACATGTTGGTCGAAATTGTTTCAATTTCTTTCACAACGGAGACAAGCACAACTAAATATTACATCCCGTTTTTAACTTCACATTCTTAATCGATCAAGCAATGCCTATGCCAAATTTGAAATTCTTATCCTTTATTTCACGACTGTGGCAAGTTGACAAAAATAGGATATCAAAGTTACCCCTTTTGGTTGGAATACGTATATTTCATTAGGATCACGAAAACGGGACCAGCTAGGAAACAATTAATTATAGGCGTTTAAAGATATTTTCATATATGAAACGATATTTCCCAAAAGAAATGTTAGAACATTGCATGCTTCCTAACCGTTTTTTTGAGGATCGAAAATCGAGTCGAAAATCTAGTGTTAAAGATCATATATATATAAAGCATATATATTATATAAATGAATTTTGGGCACCCACTACCTGCAGCGCTGTTACTCTATTATAAAATCCATTTTTATTACAGATGACATAATTAACGAACGTCCTTCCGCTAACCAATGATCATATCTGTGCTTACTTCAGATATCTGATTGGAAGAAAACTAAATGAGAATATCTACCAAGTATATGCAGATATTTTAATAACAAGAGATTTTAAAAGATCTATATAGATATATCTTTGCAATTTGTATTTCGGGATTCAGAAAATGTGTAATATTTGCGTCAATCTATGCAGCGACTGTGGTGGGCTTTTACTAAATTGGTCCGCTTAATCAAGAGCTCCTGTTCACAGTTGCCTAAGAGGGGAACTCTTTCAACTAACTATTCTTTTCAAAATGTTTTACTTTTTTAATTTTACATGAAAACAAATTTTGAATTTATTTTGATTTTTTCGTTGTTTGCATCAGTCCGCTACTGCTGCAAGTGACTGAGGTTTCAACATGCATTGTCGTCGCGTACTATTATTACTTACTGATCTTGTATTAATTTTGGATTCAAAAATTTTTATCTGTTACAAGCATTTAATAAAGTTAACACACATACCACATAGGTAATAGATATAAAAAACTTAGCGTAGTAGTTAATGTTCATAAATTTAAATTAAGCAATTTATTGAAATAAAAAATAGAATGAATTAAAGACGATTTATATATAAATAAATCCTTAAAGAGAATTCAAAAATCATTAATATTTAAGCGCGATTATGTAATGGAGATATAGGTGGAACTTAATCGGCATAACTTTCGGGTTCTCTATCAATATTTCTACATGCTCTCGCAGTAACGACGAGGTACTACAATTAAATATTAAATGGGTGCTTAACTTCCCAAATTAATAGTCACCCTTCATCGAGTAGAAACTTTAATACGAAAGTTGACACAAGTAAGAGCATTATAGTGGGACAAAGACGTCCGCTAGACACCCTACACCATTGGGCCTAGTACAGTTATCTGGCAAAAATTACACATTGCAAAGCAACAATTTTCACAATGGTCGCCACATTGAAGCATGTCCAAAACATCACATGACGTGATCACCCAATTTTAGCAAACTTAACATAAAAGACAAGAAATTAGAAAATTCTCTCGTTATAAGATTTTCTCTATAGCGTCTAAATAACAGATCTAGGTGCTTTCTATTCCTTAGCATTAATTTTTTTTGCCATCTTGTCACTAAGAAGTTGTTTTCATCATAAAATATTAAAAATTAAACCTTTTTCTGAAGGTCTTACAAGAATGCCTCATGAGGTCCCTCTCGTAGAGAATGGGGTGTAAAAAGTACAACCCATGTGACGAAAATTTGGTTCACTTCATGTTTATGTCATATTGTTATCATAAACAAACTTTCACCTTATGTGAAATTTGCATTTCCTGAGATTTCTTATAGACGCTCGTAAGCAAAAAATAGACTCACGTCGTCCAAATTTGGTAAGGTTGATTACTTTGCAAATTTACGGTAATGAAATAATTTCTGATGCCTGACGTCTGTCTATGTACTTTTGCGTTCAACCTGCAAATTGCAATTTTTTAGATGTTTTGATGAGATTTGGTACACTACGGTGTTTTGGCTTAGGCATGCACGCTGTTGAAAATGGGTAGATCGGTCCATTTGTTCGTCCACTTCCTATATAACAGCTTAATTTAAAAAGTCGTAATGTGAAAAAAAATTGTAATTTTTAAATGTAAAGATATCCTCTCGACAAAAGTCGCTGAGCAATGGTACTTTGTCATCCCAAATTGATATAAAAAATTTGGTTCGGTTAAGGCAATTTTTTGAGCTCCTTTTCATATCACTGTTCTTAAGAAAACATAAACTCTCTATATCCTAAAAATATATATATATTTTAATATTTTATCATGGAAATTAGTTTATAACAGTAACTTGACGCATAAATAAACCTTTCGGAATTTGGACCAAGTACGTCTATTTCTCGGATATCTCTGCATGAGAATAATATGTAACTTTAGGTGTATTATTCCCAAAACGAGTGTATAACTGTATTAGACGAAGTAGTGTAGGGTATCTAAAAGTCGGCGTTACCCGACTGTAATGTTCTTACTTGTTTTTAAGCAACAATAAAAGGAATTACAAAAAGAAGTAATTCTGTCAATATGAACTTGACTCTACATTGTATACATTTTTATGGACATTCTTAACTTATTTTTACTCTTTTTCTGTAAATTTTAAGAATTTTTCCTCTAGAAAAAATACATTATAGGATTTACTTTATGTATATATTTTCGAAAATAAATTTGCATATTTTTACACTCTCACACATTTTTTACTGCATACCATACACGTAGTGTCTTTTGGCAACAAGTAACAGCTTTAAAAGTTTTCGTTCCATAAAACCTTCATTGAGGAATAGCGCGTTATTATATCTGTCTCAATTTATAAGTAATGAATGAAAACCTGTAACACAGAGGTGCTTTCAGTTTATGTCAGGCTGCAAACGAGTACTTTCACCGTAAGAATTTGCAACGATTTTCGTAGATGTGAAGCCGGCACCCAAATGCGTCTTAAAAGGAAAATGAATAAATACATGCGTTAAGGAAGGTTGTGGTAAAACAAAATTAATAAGTACAAGAACCAAAATATCAGCTTCGAGCTTTTTAACGGACAAACTTAGCTTCCTTAGAAATATATTAATGCCTTAATTAAAGTTAATTGTTCTTTGTATTTGTGATAAATGAGGAAAGCTAGGTTAATTACTAATGTTATCATATTTTTTGTTTAAAAATCAAGTGAAAGTCATTCTCTACTTGCACGAGATTATTACATGACGCACGAATAGTAAAAAAATTATTTTTCTTACATATGAGTTTTTAGACATGTGGGACTTTGCCGGCTTTATCAGGCTTGACAAATCATGCGGTTTCGCACAAACAAGCACGAGAATAAATGATGATCGTTTCTTCTCAATTTTAAAGTTATTTATCTAATTTTTATGTATCTTACATCAACCCATATTTTATTTTATTTTTTTTTTTTTATGTGATTTGCAATTTTTGTTTCTTTTATTCTCATGGTCATGCAGATAGATTTGCTCAAACGACATCCCAAAAAGTTTGTCAACATCACACATTTGAAAAAGTGGTCTTACCCAATTCTTTCTCATTTTGTTTCAATTTTCTATCTGGGCAATTGTTTTCATCTCGTTTATTACTGATCAATAAATACGTTTGCTTACATTTATGTTATCCTTATTCCTTCCTTATAATTTATAAGAAAGAAGAACCTAAACAACCTCCAAAGGATTTTCGCCCATAACCTTCGAAACCTTGAAGACATTCCTAAGAAGTTATTACCAAAATATTTCTCAAAGACACGGTTCAATGCATAAAAAAGCTACGCAAAGCTGAGAAAGACAATTCTTGGGTCGTTATGCGTGTGGTTCACGAATTGTCAAAATGTAACTGATTGTGTGTATTTTAACTACTTGTACGTATACTTTGCGTTGCATTGTGTGTGGAAGCAAATTTTAAGCATAGTCTTAGATACATGTAGCGTTATTTCTGACACACAAAACAGTGATGTATTTATAAAAACAAAACAACATCATGTGGTTCACATTTTAAGCACAACATAATTTTAACGTGATCACTTACATGTTTATTAAAAAAAAGAAGGAAATTTGAATTGGTTATATTAATTGGGCTATGCACCCTAAGGCACCCTAAGTAGGAATAGATTCATTAATGCATTACATGCAATTATTTCAGTACAATAATATTGGCCATACAACATTGAAAAAGTAACCAACGTCACAAACTTTCGAAATTAGTAACAGAGGACGTGGAAACAAAGTGGCACTCCGGTTTACTTGTGACAGCAGTTCATTTTTGCCTTACTTTCTATGTGTACTTATTTTCTGCAAACGCAAATCTATCCACTGTAAGATGTTACAAACAATGATATATTGTTCGGGGTTTCCGGGTGAGACTTCGATTTTTTCAACTTCCTACGAGAATCATATGAATGGCAAAAGAAGGCTGTTTCTATTAAATTTAAAGTTCTATAGAAAATGAAAAAATTACAACTACAGGAGATTTTGTTTCATTTTATTATTATCATTATTGTTTTAATTTTAGACTAATGAAATAAATTCTTAGACTAAAAAAATACATTGAGCACTAGCAACACAGGCTATCGGCTCAGTTTCATTTTAAAATATATTTGTCAAATTAAAACGTTTAAGGAACTTGTTTGCTGTCTTCAACTGCGTTAAAGGAGTGCATGTCTTCTTTTAAATTTATTTTTTTTTTTTGGTATGTTGAACAGAGATGGACTAAGCCAATTGATTTGTGGCTTATATGTCCAAATAATAAATTGTTGTCTTTTAAATTTATTGCTCATATTTCTTCGATCCACTCATCAATAAAGAAGCCTTTTTAGTTTTCGGGTTAAATACAGAAAATGTAAACAAAAACATATGATTTTAGAAGCATAAATAAAGGAATAATCGTGAACAGAAACAAGAAATTTATAAATATTTGCAATAAGGAAGCTAATATAAAAATAAACAAGCCTTTTTATTGATTATTGATAAAGAAGGTTGATTATATATGTAGATATATATGGTAGGTATATATTTTTCTATATATTGATTCATTTATCACTCGCAACAATCGTAACAATTTGATGAATATATTTCAACTTAAAAAAAGATATTCTCTATTACAAATTACGCAATATAAAAAAATATACATTACTGTAAAATAAAAATAAATTGGACGAATAATTTCTAAATTTAAAGTAAATTGCCTTTATTTGTTCTTGTGTGTCGCTTTCTTCTTGTGTTATATTTATGTATACATGCAAAGCAATATGAATTGCCAATTCCCACAAAATTTTGTAAAAAGTCAGCAATGTTGAAGCCTAAACCCGAAAATAGGAATAACAACTCATTGTATCTGCTCCTATTTGCTTTGCTGCTTACATTTATGTTGATAACTTTATTTTTCCCAATCAAATCATATGTTATTTGCTTAGTTTGCTTACAAAATCATTTAAGGCTTATTTACCCGTTGAGCGGAATACGGAATCATTCTGATGGAGATCTAATAAGGCATATATATATATATACATATATTTTCTTGAATGAGTGCATCGATTCACTGATAACTGTTTGCAATCTGTTAAAATTATGATTAAGACCTGACACCTTTGTAAAAAGTAGATGATTGCAATTTTTTTACCTATTCTAATTAGATAAATCCGATAAAAAAATGGGAAACCAATTTACGAGTCCGCTTGTACTTAGCATAAAACAGACCTTTTTTTCGTTCTTATTCGATTATAGTTTAAAGTTTTCTCGTAATAATAAAAATTGTGTTAAATTTGTCTTCCTTGAAGCTTCTGTCTAAAGGCAAAACTAGCGAAGTAGTCATAAAGGTTCAATTAAAACAACTAAAATATCATATGCAAATAAATAGTAAATATGAACTTCAGTTTACACGATAATTTATTTGGTATCGCCAAGTTATTTAAAAATAAAGATTTTTAAAAACCGTATATTCATACATGCTATCATATCTTATCCTGTAATAAAATATGACAAATGCGTATTTTATATCTATACGTCATATATTCATAACCAAAGGAACACATTATTAGAATTGGCAGAAGTTTTGAAAGAAGGTATTTCAAAATGTATTTTTCGGGAACAATTTTTTCTATAAAATATGAACTAATAATATCTTCTTCCTCTATATATTATAAGTTGTAATCCCGTTCAAAATTATTACTTGCGTTTTATAGTCATCTTTGTCAAAAAAAATTATAAGAATGAAAAAAAAAACAAAGATATCTTGATTTCATTTCCTAACGTTTCGTTTTGTTGCGGTTTGTTATGTACAGTGTATAAAAATTTCTCTACTTGGAACGTCTAATTCAGGAAATCACGCCAACAGCTGCAGTGGTGCCAACATTTTAATTATGAATTTTCCTGAATTCTATCAAAATTTATAGTGAAAGGTTTTTCTATTGCTAAAAAAAATTGTTAAAGTAAGAAGCAAAGGTAAATTAAGTGAAATTATTATATTTAAGATGCTTATTATTCCATTAAATCCTTTGGATTTTATAGATTTTCTAGTATCAGACAATTATTGTAGGACGCATAGTTAATATAAGACGCGTTGATCAATTATTAAAAGTTTGAGTTATATATTTATTAACAATTTGTGATGAGCGGTCGTAAAAGAGGTAGACCGCCGAAAACACCCAATGAGCGGGCTGGAGGCAAATTTAATTATCAGCTTCTTAAAAAGCCGAAATACTTGAGCAAAGCAAACGATTCTCAAGTAAGTACGCCTTCAGCTTCACGTGCCTCTTCGCCACAGGAAAGTGATGGCAGTCGAATTATAAGCCGCAAATCCAATAGAGGACGTGGACGAACTACAAGTTCATATTCAAATAAAAGAAGTAAGTAAATTTGTTATTGGTCTCTTTTGATTGAGTATCCGCAACAGATACAACTCGTCAATTTATAATTAATAAGAACATCGAGACTCCATCGTCAACAGGACTAACTAGCCTACAAGACAGTGTAAGAGTTACTCAAAAAATAAACGATTATTTTGTTGTATTTCCAATATTTAGTTTTGTTCACGCAATTTAGCTTCTGTTTATCGTTGGTTCTGGTTAAAATACATATTTTCAATGTACGGAGTTGAAAGGAAAAATAACATATTTTTCACAGAAAAAAAAAAAAAAAAAAATTTAAAGATGAAGGAAGCAAACCTAACCATTTTGAGTGATAATTTTACCTGATTTTTATTAATTTCTCTATAGGATATTTAGAATCAGACAATATTTAAAAGAAAAAGAGAAGAAAGTACGACAAATTTTTTTCTTGAACATCTTAAATATCTAACAGAGCCTTAGGTGAAGAAGTAAAAAAATCTTTTATATCACTTTTTCACTGAAGTCAATTCTTTGGTCTCTAAGAGACGAACCTCAGAAGTAATAAGTATTTCATTGAATCATTTCATTTTTTAGATTTGTCTTTCTTTATCTAAACACTGAAATGCCAACTAAAAATAAGAAGAAAAAAGAAAGATTGTATGAAATTGAGAAAAAAAAATGTGAAGGCAATCCAAAGAAACAACAATGACAGGCGACTAAAAGGAAATGTTTTCGCTTTTCAAATCCTTGGGTAAAATATTTCTTTTTCGAAGGCATTATTTGATATAGATATATATATATATATATAAATTATTAAAAACACTGTTTTCATATGGATTCAATTATGTAGGAATGGTGAACCGTTGAATGAAAAATACGTTTTCTTACTTGTTTTTCGCCTATTTTCTCTTTATGACTCCATGCATTTCAAAACGTTATCGCTACCGAAGATTGTTAAATTGATCTAATGTTCAACTTCCTTGCCTTTAGATTTTATTGACTTTCTTCTCCTAAAAAACTTCGGAATGGATTATTTTTTTTTCGAATTATAGTTTTTTCCTTCCGAATGTCATATTTGTTTTGAGTTTACTTACCCTTCAAACTAGGATTGGAATACAGTTTCATTTAAATTTTTAAAATTTTTCAACGAGGATCATCTGTTTTCATTATATTTCAAAGGTATTGTTTGAAAGTCATTCATGAACGGATAATATCATTCTGCTACCTATCTGCCTGTTTTTCCAATCATACACTCTTCTCTTGAAGATTTAAAAAAAGTAATGAGCGTCGAAAAGTTTCGGACAATATTACTAGCATCAAATGCGCTAAGAATATTATTTCCCTTAAATATTCAAAGTAATATAACAAATTAATAATATTAATAATGATACTATGTTGTCTAATAAAATCAGCGGGAAGTAGGGTATTTCATAAATATTTCATGCGAGAAAAATTGCATTCATTCCCCATACTGCATTTTTAGCAATTAAATTCATTCTTCCGTTTCACCTCATTTCACAAAATCCAACTAAAGTTTACTTGGATTATCCTGGATTACATTTTTTATGAAAAAGTAAAAAAAGAATCCTGATTTCAGTTTTTCGCGGAACCCAAATCAATTTTCTTAGAATTGAAAAATGTAGCTTTGCTTGCGATACAATTTTCACACGTACCTACGTTGTTTTAAAAATGAAAGAAAAAAGAGCGAAGGTCTGTTATTATAAAATATCTCCATTAGAATAATAAAAATTGAAATTTGAAATGACCCGTTCCTGTTCTTTATTGCTTAGCGCGGTACTCAAGTTGACTTCGGTTTGCGATTGCGGGTTGATCTTTTGGGTAAACACGGAATATTAATCTAATTCAGCAACGTTGTCATTACAACATAGAAGCATCAAAAGAGTTAGACTGTGAAATATACTATCGTCGCAGAGAAGAATGTGTCCTTGGTATAGAGATCCAGCAATTCGAAAAGTGATAGTGTTAAGGAATAATGTGAAAGAATAAAGCATTACGTAAGTTGTAGTACATTTCAGCTATGGAATAGTGCAATAATGTTTTACACGATAGGATATATAGAACATTAGTTCAAGAGTGCGCAAGCAATGCAATGGTCTAGCAAAGATAATATTGATATAATGCGGAGGTCCTATAAAGTTAACGTTACGCTCTGAATTTGAGTACGACAATATAACTAATGTTAACGAAACAATGTGATAGCACTTCGGTATCGCCGGGGGTTGTTTTTAGTAATGTGACTCTCATGCATCAAAGTACAACAACGCGTAATATAAAATGAATCAATTTTTTTTTTTTTTTTTTTTTTTTTTGTAATCCAGCGGTCGTTAGAAGAAAAATGATATGGAAAGTTAAATGAAGGCCTATAACTAAAGTAGGCCAATATCCATTTATCATCCATCCATATAAACAATATGGGCATTAGTTTACCACACAATGAAAGTTTCGTACAACAGCTTTCCGTCGGTCATCACTTGTTTATTTAATATACACTATGTACTGAAACATATATAATAAAAGTTGTAAAGGTGTAAAAAGATAACATTAAAAATCATGTGCGCGACATTGAAGAAATAGTTGTTTTTGTTTTATTGAGTTTGAAGCCCTCACTAGACATTATTGTCGTAAATATTCAAAAAAAAAAAAAAAGTTTATTAAAATGAATATTTTCAACTTTTTATTATTTTTAAATTTAAATTTTTGTCTTTAACAGGCTACGAATCTGAGTATCATTATGGATCAGATTTTGGCGATACTACGGATAAAAGTGATGATGATATATTATTGTCAAACACTGAAGAAGATAGTATTGATGGAAATGAAAGTGAATCAGAATTCTCCGTTTGCAGTTTTACACAGGGTGGTGTTGGTAGACTTGCTAGGCCACCTAGCCCTGATCCTATTTGGCTGCAAGATCGTGAATTTAGCAGTCTGGAGTTACCTGAGTCCTCTCAGGATCTCTTAATTGATAACATACAATTAATGGACGCTCTTGGTGTATACGAAGTACTAAGAAGATTTCGGCATTTAGTCCGGTTATCACCATTCCGATTTGAAGACTTTTGTATAGCTCTTGTATGTGACGAACAGAGCGCCTTACTTACAGATATACATATTATGCTTTTAAAGGCTATACTTCGCGAGGAGGATGCGCAAGGCACGCATTTTAGTCCTCTTGATCAAAAAGATAGTGTAAATATAAGCCTTTATTTAATTGATTCAATTACTTGGCCGGAGGTTTTAAGAAGTTACGTTGAAAGTAATGAATTATTCGATAAGAACGTATATGATATATTATGTTCTGCGGAGTATCCCTTTACTTCATCAATTAATCGCATTAAAGTCATTCAGTTTCTTACCGATCAGTTTTTAACTACAAACGCAATTCGGGATGTAATGCTGCAAGAGGGTCCAATACATTACGATGATCATTGCCGCGTTTGTCATCGCTTAGGTGATTTACTATGCTGCGAAACTTGCCCAGCTGTCTATCATTTAGAATGCGTAGATCCACCGCTTTTAGATGTCCCAACTGAGGATTGGCAGTGTAATCTTTGTAAAGCACATAAAGTTTCTGGCGTAGTGGATTGCGTTATGCCTCAAGAAAAGCAAGGTGTGCTTATCAGGCATGATAGCCTAGGCTTAGATAGGCATGGACGTAGGTTTTGGTTTATCGCTCGTAGAATTGTTATCGAAGATCAGTCTGGCAAAAATATTTGGTATTATAGTACAGTATCAAAATTTGAGTGCCTTCTAAATATTTTGGATCAACACGAATTAGAGGCTGGACTTTATGCACAATTATGTGAACAAAAAGATGAAATCATTCGTCAGTTAAATATAACTGCATCTCTCACAAACGAACACAAAAATAACAAAAAAACTTATTTCGAATTTGAGAATTTCGTAGTGAAAGATGAAAATGCTATGGATGACGATAGCGATGAATTTAAAAGTTACCAAAACACAAGTGCAGAAACAAAGGAAGATATCAATTCTAAATTGCAAGAGTTCAAAGCAATTTCTCAACCAAAATTGCACAAAGGTGCGCATGGAGATTATTTCAAATTAGGAATGGAGAATACATTTAAGTCGTACGTTAATCAATATGCATCAAACTCTATAGCCCTTAACAAACCGCAACGCAATGAAGAGAGAGATAAGCGACGTCATTTATCGCATAAATTTTCATTGACTTCGGCATCGGACTTTAAATGGATAGGCGCGACAATGGGTACGATTGATAATATTATAATAACGTTGCGGCAAACATTGATCACGTTTGAGCAGAATATCGCAGCTGCCTTTCTCAATCCAAATTGGAATGTTTTAAAGAAAATATGGACATCAGCAGTTATGAATTGCCGCACGCCCACTGAATTCGCTACTGTTTTGCTCTTATTTCAGGCTTCGGTTAAGAGCGTTGTGTTTGCCAATGTATGGCATGAACAGTTGGGTCATACAACTTTAAGACGCATAACTGCGGCTGAACGTGAAGATCGCAAAAAATCGGAAAAGCGTGAGAAGAGAGAACGCGATGACGAAGAGGAACGAAATCGGTTAGCACTTAATTATATTAAATATACGCTTGGTCTAAAACATCAGGTATGGAAACAAAAGGGCGAGGAGTACAGAGTTCATGGACAGTGGGGATGGATGTGGTTATCATCTAGCCGACGTTGCACTCGTTCGCGCCGCGTACCTACTGTAAGACATATTATCTTGCCTCACAAAATCAATGTTCATTACACAAAAAACGAGGATATAGAGGAAATTGTGACCGTAGACCCGCGCACCTATAAATTTATCTTACAATGCGAGAAGTCCCGTTCTCAGGGTTTTGATTACAATTATTTAGAGAACTACAAAGATATTAAAGTTCAACCTATGAATTGTGAAGATATTGCTCTTATTGATGTTTCAAAGTCTCTGAACATGCCAGGAAGATTATTATATCCAAAAATTGCAAAAAAAAGTTGTTTAGATAATTTACTATCTCGTCGCGTACAATTGAAAGAGGCCGAGGAGCAATTAGGAATTAAAGCGGAAGAACATGATATTAAGGTGCCGTCCTCTCCAGCATTCAGTTCAGCAGCACGTTCTCATCAAACGTTTTTGGAAAAACGGCTCCTACGATTAGAATCGCAAAAGGCGCATCATCATGCGGCAAATAAAAATGCGAATAATAAAAGCGTAAATTTAGATCTCGTTAACTCATTAGCGAAAAAAATACAAGTGGTGCGATTACAATTTAGTCAACTGAATAGATTCGCCAAACAATACCGCTGTTATACGAAGGAATGTAATACAAATTCTAACGCTGTCTCCCAAATAACCCAAAATACGTGTTACTCGCCTTTATGTATGCAGAAGGCTCGGGCTAAGAAGGAATTATTGGTGCTTCTGCGGAAAGCACATACTGCTGGAAACGGTTCTAAAGAAACAGTGGCTGCAATCCTTGGTGCAGTTAAGAAACCTTCGATATTGGAGCAAAAGTTAATGGAAGGCAAAAGAGATTTGCTACCATTTGATGAATCTGATGACTATAAATGGTTGGACGAAAGCCCTTTGGACTTGTTGAATGATTGGGAGCAAGCTAGGAATGTAGCGATTGCTTACGATGAGAAGCTATTAAAAGATTGCTTACTATCAAAAGAAGAAATGATTGGGATAACGAAAGTTGAATCTGTGGAAAGTAGCAGAGAGGGGTTTGGTGGTGAAGAGAAAATTGATTTCATAGACAATTTGGATGTATGCAGTAATGTTGAAATAGAAAGTTCGGAAACAACAGTTGATGGATCACTTAATGTATCTTCAAATATGGCACCCGAAGATGTCGGTCAGCAATTTTCAAAGAAGATTACAAAAACTCCTAAAATAAAAGCCAAGGCATATATTGGCACAAAAGATATGCTAGATCAAACGATGACCAAGGATGTAGCGCAGAAAAAGCAAAACCGAAGATTTCCCATACTCCCGCGAACCACCAAACGTGAAGATATCAAATATGAAAAAGAATTCTATCCTAATGGAAAAGAGAAAATTTATTCAAGCTCATCTTGCCGAGGTCGCATCTATTTATGGCACGATACTTCAAAGCTGTGTCAAAAAAACAATTCCGATGATTTGACTAAGAAACCTGCTTTATATTCGAAATTTCCGCTCATTTCTAATTTCCTCACACACAAGCAAAAAAGAAGTCTCTTAATCCTGCCGCGATACGAAGTTCTTAAATTAGCCCGTCTTGGAGCGAAAGTACCAGCTTGCGGTTTTCATCATTTAGCGAAAAATAATCAATTAGTTTGGCCATACCCGTGTTCTAGACCGCTATTTAAGACTTGTTGGTCATATCGTACTTGCAATGTTACAACTCTCTCCGCAGTCGCCTTGCAACTACGCGTTCTATGGTGTTGCTTGCGTTGGGATGATATGGCCGCTAAGCCACCTTCCGCCGATGGAAAGCATCAAATGACTACCGAAAATGAAATAGTAACATTAGAATTGCTGAAATTTAAAACTGGGGGACGCTATGGCGAAAGAACTCAATATCTGCGACGTAAGGTGGTAATTCCCTTGGAACTACCAAAAACAGTTCGAGGTAAGATTTACAGTTTCTTTAGGCTATCACATTGAATATTAGATTATATCGTTACATTGCAATCAATCTATCACATAATTGGGAAAAACTTATCCGATATTTCGAATGACACTGTAACAGAGTGAAAAAGACTAATCTAATTTTTGACGAGTTTTTTTTGGGATGAAAGGAAAGTAGGAAAGAAGAAGAATGAATATATCCGAGGAAGTTCTTTAAAAGTGTACATTTAATTATCAAAAAGAAGAGAAAAGGGAAACAAGCGAAAGTATAGTGTGCCATGGCCACTTGGCTTCTTGTAGTTATTCATATAGCGACTTTTCAATATAACACGGTATATGGGCAATGATCGCACATCGGTGTATGCAATTTCATCAGAATTTCGCAAAAAGGTGCGACCTTTATGTTGAATACAGAAATACATAGATATTGGCGGACAGTGTGACCAAACAATTTGGATCGATTCAGAAAATAATTTTGAATCGATTGGCATACTAAAAGGTGAGTCTATCTCGGATCATTCTACGTGTCGCATATATCCGCAGAAATTTAATATACCCTCGTACCACAACTGGTCTAAGGTATAAAAACATGTTTAGAAAAATATATCTATAACACAAGAAGTAAGAACATTATAGTCGGACAAGGCTGACCATTAGATACCTACACCTACCTTAGATACTAAAACCTACACCACTTCGTCATTCATTAATTGCTGTCGTAATAAGGCAAAAGTTACACGTTATACATTATTTTTATGTAAAGGCACACGTTTCATGAAAGCCCGCATATGACAAGATGCCAGTGATGTCACTTGACGTGATCCTTACTTACAAAAATTGATCTACTTGTCAGAGATTTTAGTATTTTTCACTTATTTCCGTCGCAAAAGACCGCAAAATTAAACATTGTCGCTGTGTAAGAGCAGGCTTTGTTGGGATCTACATAACAGTGCTATGTGACCCAAACCCCCTATGGCTAATGTTTTTGCTAAATTGATACTATGGCGCAACTTTTCTCTAAATAGTTTACTATTCTATACAATAGAGAATTGATTTGTAGATTGGGAAGAACAAGAAATGGATCCACGTGGTGGTGCACTTAATTTTTAATGTTAAATTACTATTGTGGACTAATCTTCAACATGAAGCAGTGAAAATTGAATCGTTTTATCATATAAAAAGTCAGTTTTTGTCGGAATGAATATAGGGGAAGAGATTCAACAAATTGCGCCATCCGATCCGAAAGTTTTCACATCAGTTTGAAATGCCGAAATACTGTTACTAAGCGGTTTTTGTGGTAACTTGTAATTTCTCTTCATGTAGTAAATTTTCACCATGAGACATTGTATAAAGTGTGATCGAAGAAGTTGTTCGTGCTCAACTATTTTCAATTATGTTTTTACTTGAGCCAAAGCATGTCACTGTACAAGATTTCGCCAAAATATCTGAGAAATGGCGACATGTGCAGGTTGAATATAAAAGTGTATAGACAGACGTCAAATGGACAGATAAGTTTACATAAAAAGGTGGGTCTACCTTAAGCCATGCTGTGTGTTACATACGTCCGCGTACCTCGTGACCCAAGATAGAAAAATCTTTAATTTAAGGATCCTTGCGTTTCTATGCGTTTTTTGATGCAAGCATGATTCGAAGAAATGAGAAATCCGTTTAATGGAATGCGTTTAATTTGCATTCCTACCGCCAAAGAAGTACATAGGAGGCTTTAATAACACATGTTTTCGGTGTCATTGGCGAGTATTTGGATGAAAAGGCCCTGTTCTATCCAACTCATACGTATTGCTCTCCGGACTGTTATTTTAAAATTTTGAAAGCTGCTTGTGGTCGGTCCATTTAGAAAAGTCGTTCCACGTAAGGAATATCTTAGACACATGCTTTTTTCATCAACCAGAGAAATCGGCAAGAAAATGTATAATTCCCAATAGCCATGTTCATAACTGAAATCAGTGTCTTCCTTATAAAAATTAATTTCTTAATAATAAGTTTTTTCCACACACTCTTGAAGGTCCAAAGTACCTATATGGCAAAAAAAAAAAAAATTCTGGGAAATTGACGGTGGTGTTACGCATTATGGAGGTGAATAATTGAAATCGTTCCTAGGATTATTTTAGCCAAGCTTATTGGACGAAAATTGATGTTTAGTTCTTTTTCGATTAGGTTTACTACCCCAAAAAAAGTCTTTTTTGTAAGCAATCGAAATCTGGCTTTTGCGTCATATTCTCGGAAAAAAATATTAAAATTTCTCATATTTAATTACTATTAATGTAAACGTATTATCATGTTCGTTAGAGGTGACCTCTATTCGTTCTGGACTTCGGAAACGGAAGAGAGCCGACTCACCTCAACCGACAGAGCCGCAAATATCCGAAGAATGGGTAGACGAGGACAAATTAGAATTGTGGGAAATCAAATTTATTGGCGAGAAAGCTGAGAAATCGAAATTGATGACAACGCGGGCTTTTGCACAACGTCAAAACGAGGCGACAAATAGTCAAATGACAACAGATAGCACTTTGAGTAAACCTTCAAATGTCACCAAACCCACTGACGACGTGAAAGAAACTGTAGATCAGCAAGTAAAAATTCAACGAAGTGCAAATGTACAGAAAAAGTCGAATGATATGTCTAGAGCATCGACGCAAGGTAAATACGAGACACCTTCGTTTTTTTAAGTGTTATAAGAATATTGTCTTTAAATTGCAGCAAATACACAAGCAATTGGAAGCCGCCGTGTTATCGTCAAAAATCCAGACGGTACCACAAGGATAATCCAGCAGTCACCTACTTCATCTTCAGCGCAAAAGTCGGGTTCAAATACTTCCACTACTACATCTTCCTCACAGCAAATTAGTAGCGATCATGCTAAACAAAATACATCCCAGCTAGTAAAAGCATCGTCGTCATCAACTCCTACGCAGCCTCAACAACATAAAGTTCAAATAATAAGAGGGTCAGACGGAAAGGTAAGCGTTCGCGGTCTCAGTCCTGGTCAGCAATTGGTCCAAATGCCAGACGGAAAATTACATGTATTAAGTACAACTGTTTCGACGACTTCCTCCAACGAGGCGAACGGCCAAAGTAAGCAAATTGAATTTTCTGCGCCTTTCGTGAATAATTTTTTTTTTTTTTTTGTTTTTCCTTTTTTGTTATTTATTAAAGCTATTTTGAATAAAAAATTATGTGTTAAAAGCCAATCGTCACTGTCAAATTCACCAGTCGTAAAACAAATAACGGTGAAGCAGATCGCAAGAGGTTCCAACGTTCAGAAGGTATTATTAATTTCAACTTTTATTTTATTGCCTTTTTTTTTTTTTATTATTATTCTCAGTTTGTTCAGGTCGAAAACGGGTTTAAAACCCTTAAACATATATATTTCTCTCTCATTTGGTTATACTATCTATATCCTTACGGTATAGGCGATGCATTAAGTTTACCAAATGCTTGTAACACAGAAACTATTCTCCGTCAGCGTAAGTAGTGGAATCAAGTTTGACTACAATTTTTTCTTATCAGGTTAACTTTTAAAATGAACAAAATCGATTCGTGACCCCATCATTAAATTCTAATAGAACTCATTATTTCTCATTTTTTAAAACTTTTCCTCAATAAAACATCAAATACCAAAATCGAACCAATTTTTGAAAGGTCATATGCGCTGAAAATATAAATATCAGGGAGTGTAGTGTGTAGATCAGTATGAGTTTTAGTTTGTAAAGTCAACTTGAAGTGGAAAATTCTGTACCCAAGTTCGCAAGGTCTACGATTTTCCATTTTTCATTGGCATAATATAATAATGATAATAATAATGACAATAATTCAGAATCACTTCAGAAAAGATCTCAACCCGATCGTCCCTCGGCGCCGTGCGCCTTGTTTTCTTGTGTGTTTTGTATTTTAATGAAATTTCGTGCACTAATCTGTTTCGATCCACGGATGAACATTGTTTAAAATGGTTTTGGCCGAAACCATTTTTCGACCGTTTGCATGCGCTGGGCTGTATCACACTATAGTATTTTTACTTGTTTTAATAAAATGTTGGTGTTCCTCCCAAAAGTCATATTAGTATGTGTGTAAATATGATTTCCAAGTTCTGTGTCTTTGGTGCACACTATTATTGTTGCAGACTTTTGGTAACTCAAGCTGAACCTGTTACTGATAAACATGTCATTGTGTAGCAGGAACACGTCAGACTTCCATGTTATAGTTCTATCGCTCTATGTGTAGGTCTTATGTATTTTCCTCATTTTTTATTGTCCAAAATAATTGAAAGGGTCGCGACAAACTTAAACATTTTCTTGCACATCAAGATGATTGTTTCAAATCAAAAAAAAAGGAATTACCGAGAATCTCGGAGCTAGCAGCATTTGCATGAATAGATTGCTTGTGTTTCATTTTGTTGCGCTGTTCTTCCTTCGTCCACCACACCGCTAATGGAATAAAAATATGAGTATCGCAACAACTGTTTATACAAATAGGTTTTGTAGTTGTATGAACGAACAATCAATCAATCAATCAATCAAACAATCTGGCATTCTTTTTGTTTAATTTGTTCTCGGTTAAGTGAAGTTGAAAATTTATTCGAATTATTTAATCTATTGATTAGGTGGCGAGTCCCATTAATCAAATTCGAGGCAACGTAAAGGTGGCAGCAACGCAAGTAAACCATCAGCCAGTGGTCAATACTTCTAGTGCACCGAAAGTGCTATCAAGCGTTGGTCAAGTGACAGCTACCGGTTTAAGTGGTACTAAAAAGATTTCGAACAATCAAAAGTTGCAACAATTAGTTGTACAACCTGGGCAAAAATTGTTAGTTGGTCAAAATACTCAAGGACAAAAAGTGATTATACAACCTATACAACAGCCTGCAGCAACTGCAAGCAGTTCTCAAGTTACGGCGACTGTTCAAACCGTTACGAATCCGCAGCAGACTCGAACCCAAAGTCAACAGCAGCAGATTGCAACTACAAATCAGACGCCAACGCAATCGCAAAAAGTCATACAGCAAATCGTTAATACCAGCAATGTTCAACAGCAAATCGTTGTTGGAAGCCAACGAATAATACTAAATCCTGGACAAACAATTGTGACGCAAAGATCAGTTCCGCAAAATCAAACGCTGCAGGTGGTACAATCCAAACCGGCGCAACCAACTTCGCAATTACAAACACATATGATAATGTCTCCACATCAGTCCACGCAAATGCAGCAACAAGGCCCGACGAAAATCATTAAACAGGTTGTAATGCAACCCTCACAACAAACACCTGCTATCAATGAAACGCAGTATTCGCAAAGTATTTCAAAAAGTCAACAACAGTCTTCTAATAATTCATTGGACACTACTAGTTCTAATTTGGCAAGCAATCAACAACAGATTATTGTACAGAATTCGGCCTTAGCTCAGCAATTAGCGCAAGGAAAATTACAAGTGGCAACAATTAATGGCCAGCAAGTAATAATTAAGCCGCTCGGCAATAATCAGGCTCAAATCGTGGCCCATATTAAAACGCAAAGCGATGGTAATGCACATATCGTAACAAGTACGAATACTGAAAATCAAACATCTCCAATCAAGAGTACAGCATTAGCACCGCAGGTACGAGATTGACCTCTCAAATATAATCGTTAATGCACTTTTTTACATACATTTATACACACTCGTAATTCTGAAAGGAACAAAAAAAAAAAATATGCATTCATGCCATCATTAATCGTTGGATTCATTTTACAACAGAAAATATTAATTGATTTCATTCAGTAAACTGAATGTTGTTTCTAGTTAAAATTCCAAATCGATTTGAAAACTTTTTTCGAACTTAGACACGCAAACAAATTGAGCTAAATTTTCATTTTTAAGACTGATTTTAAGATTGAGATAAGCGTAAATATCCCCTCTTCGCCGACGAACGCAAGCAATTAGACTTCCTGACGATATTACTTACCTAAGTATAAATCATTAGCTTAAAAATGACTAAGAAAATGTTTACCGACATGCAATGAATTGAACTTTGACGTTTTTATGCAAAGCAATTGTACCTTATTGTACCCCATTTATAAAAGGAAAACTAATTAGTTAACATGCATTATTGTGCAGGAAAATCCTCAAACGGTGCAAACCATTTCTATGCAGCCGGTGGAGCAAGTGGCTACTCAGCAATCGGTTATGTCGATCGAAGAAGGCTTACTACAAGGCCAACCTCCTGGTACGATTATCAAATGTGTAACTGCTCAGGTCATACAAACCGAGCAAGGTCCACGCATTGTCCTTCAAGGTTTGGTAGGGAATGACTTTACGCAACAACAATTGGTACTTGTCCAGCAACAAGTAAAACAACAATTACTAAAAGGTAAGATTCGTTTTAATTATATACAGCTTTCCTAACTTTAAAATTCGCAGTGAAATTGCTCTCAATTTTTCCGCATTATGTGTAGCATTTAAATGACCATAACAAAAATGTGTGGCGTCATCAAACGAGCGTTCGGTGTTAATAAAATTATATTTGGTCGTGACTGAATCTTTTATACCCATCTAAATTCTAAATTTATTCTACAAAAAAAATAAAATAAAATAATAGAACTAAATCTTCATGCCCAATAATATGGAGAGGGCTGAAGTTGATTTTTTTTTTTACCACAAATCCTACACAGTTGCGCAGAAAGACAGATGGACACGTGCATTATAAATTTGAAACTAGTCAAGCATTTAAATATTTTATTGAATTTTTGAAGCTCGCAAAAGTATTGAAAAAAAAAAAAATTGCACCTTGACACGCACTATAATATTAGATAGGCATGGCTAATTTTTTGCACGGACGGAGAGATAAACGTGCTTAATTCGATTCAGTATTTGATACTGACCAAGAATATATATGCCTTGTGGGGTCTCTGAAGCCTCCTTCTCGCCGTTGAAAACGTTTTGCCAAAATGAATACATCCCTCATCCTTCCGATGATGGATATAACAACAAACGGGTACAAGAAAGCAAAATAATTTGTTTAAAAATAATTTCGCCTAAGTGACTGCTTAAGGTCTTTAAAAAATTTAAGACCAACTGCAAGGCATCAATTTCTTGTTACTATTTCACGTAAAGCCGCAAAGTGTACAGTAAATCATTAAATCATAAATTATAGTAAATCAATAGTTTCCCAGGGAAAAAGTCTAATCGTGTATTAAATTTTCCTTTCAATAACTTAACTGGGCCATGAGATGCATGACGTGTTACACTATCATGATATTCGTCAAATTGGAAATCGTACAAGTACGTCTCGAACGATGTTTCACATAATCGATTTTTTCGACGAAAAATTCACAATAATCGTACTTCTGTACCGCACATTATCAATTCAGGTTTCAAAAAAAAAAAGGCATAGATGTGGAAATTAATTTCCGGCTGAAAGTGCTTGGGATTGCTTTATAAGACCCTCCCACCTTCCATTTATACGTTTCGCCATTTTTTGGGCGTTAGACATAGTTTAAATATTGATGTTTGCACACTTCAACTATTAGCTATGGCAAGCTACGGTCACTGCGTCGCAAAGTGCAAGGAAATGGATGTTAGCAAGCAGCACTTTCGGCGCAATGTGTTAGAATAACACTGTGTGTTTTAAAGTTGAAAAAAAGCTTAGATGAAGAAATTCAAATTTTTGTAGACGAAAGTCCAGTACAAACTCAAAAATAGCTTCCCGTACGGTTGGAGGACGATAAGCCGTTCAAGTTCGATTTCGTACAATAGGTAAAGATAAAGAAGGAATAAAAATGGGCTTCTCATGTGCTAAATCGAAGACAGTGAAAATCGAAGCTTTGATATCGGCTTACTCTTGCCAAGTCGGTATAAGAGGAAGCATAATCTTTATGAAATTATTATGGGCGATGGAAAATGAATTCTGTACGCCAATCGTTAAGTACATAGCGGCGGAAGCTTGGTAGCAATGAATGTTCGGCTTTACAAATAATCTTATCTGACCGTTTGACTTATATTATAATTTCTTAAGGTTCGGGTTATCGTAGCATTTCTATTTCTATTCATCGTCGATGATGATAAAGCATTTGTTCTCGAATTAAATGGGAAAAATAGCTCCCTTTTTTTTTTTGTGCGCACATCGCTAGACGCCAAAAAAGCCTATGGGGTAGAGTAGCATAGACGTATTATTTTAATAGGGGGGAGAGGTCAAGCAAGGTATTATCCTCCGTTGAGCAGCGAGTTGATTACCATTACCTCGAAAATGGAAGATTCACTTTGCGCTCAATTGAAATGAAAGATTTAGTCAGAACGGAGTATATGTCCTAGTAACGATCGGTGACAGTACGTTTTTAATTAGTAGTACTGTTAATGTAGTATCGCTTACGACCGCTCTTGACAATGTCACGAAACTAAACGAAGTACTTAATCAAACTGTTCTTCTTTTTTCTTTTTTTTTTTTTTGCTTTTCTCCTTTTTCTCTCATCTTTTAGCTCAAGAATCAAGTGGAAAACAAGGTGTTCTTGGACCAACAAAAATCTATATAGCAGTGCAACCATCAAACGCAATAACGCAACCACCACCTTTAACTCCTGTACATCAAACTCAACAGCAACAAGTGAGTCATTGCTAAGTTATAAGTATTATTAATTAAGTTATAGAAATTCTCATTATATATATATATATATATATATATATATATATAATTTAATTAGCATCTGAGAAGACAAGGTAGTATCTACCCGATAAAACAATTGCAATTTTTTTCTTCATATATATTTTTTAGCATAAAAGACTTAACTATCTATATGTGGGTGTGTAAGTACGGTAAAAAGGCTTAAAGATTCTATATATTCGTCCTTGAGACCGAGTTGATGAAAACACGTGACAGATGGACAAATAAGATAAACGGCTTCATATCATCTCGTTCGATATTTCATGAGACAACGACGAATACTTACGAATGTCTGATCAATGAGGAAAAGTACGATAATTTGCATTAGACTTTTAAAAGAAACTGATCGTCGTTTAAGTTAAAACTTAATATATGGCTTTCTTTCCCTCTTCAAGGGTCCTGACACATTCTATCTCTAGAATTAATTATGTTATTCTTCATCTTTCGATTTTCGTAATCAAATGGGATTTTTAATTGTCATCTGAGGCGATTGCTATGGAACGAATGAAATCGAAATAAAAACCTTCAAGTGTTTTTAACGCGAAAAACTCTTTTTTTATATTTAAAGAAAATGTAATCTACAAATAAAAATTTTAATTTGAGAATATACGCACATAGTATAGCAACTACGCACTATTTCTACCCAAATCTGAACTCGGCGTGAGGAGGCGTTTTGTTTATTATTTGCGTAAGGTGTAACAGAATAAAAACAAAGCTTTTTTATACTCACCCTTGAAGTATGGGGGTATTCCCATTTTTTTTTTTTTTTTTTTTTTTTTCATAATGGATGTAACACCCCAAAAAAAATGCCTCAGAGACCCAATAAAGCATATATATGCTTGACCAGAGTGAAATTCTGAGTTGATTTAGCCATGTCTGTCCGTGCGTGTGGTGTTTGTTGTTGGCAGTCTCTTAGTCGCACAAAAGAGAATATCGTCGTTAAATTTGGTAGAAATATTGGACGGTTTTGCATGCAGGTTGGGCAAATGAGGAAAATTGGTCAGAGCACAAGCCCGCAGTCGAGCGTAAACTGAACGCAACGTCATTTCTCTTAACAAAAATGTGCGAATTCTTTGTTGTTATGCTGTCGCATAAATTCTATAAGATAAGAAGGCTGAAATTTTCTATGCTTACTCCACTATTTTCATGCAAATATGAAAAAAACGGCCACGCCCATACAAATTTACAAGAGAACACATTTTGTTTTTTTCAATTTTTCGAGCTTTTGTGCGTATTTATCATAAGGCAAACAAGACAGAATGTTTAAAACTACTTTGTACATTCCTCAAATGAAGATATCTGCCTAAAAATGGGTTAATTCTGAAATGGATTTGGTAGACACCGCGACCTGGTGGATTAGTTTTTGCTTAATAATACCACCGATATGGGTATCAAATAAAAGAACTTGGAGATTAGAATGCGAAAAGCATAGTGGTGGGTATACGAGATTCGGCCCCCCCCGACGAATACAACTTTCTTACTTGGTTTTCCTGTGATAATTTTCCTGAGATAGAAGGCAAGTTGATGGAATAGCAATACTCGAGGACGTTTTTGAGCATATGCTCACGTGTAAAAAAAAAACAAAAGATTTTTGACAAATATTAAAAACTGGTAATAGTGGAGCTAATCGCCTCTCTGCAATGCTGCAATAGCATGCACCTATGCCAGTAGCCATTAGAAATGTCGCCATGTTTTTTATGAAATTAGTCATGTCACTCATAACATAGTCATGCAAAGTCATTTTTAAAATTCTGTCGGCGATATCTACTTCAAAAAGAAATTTACATGTTAGGGAAGACTCTATTTCTATGATAATAGTTACTATTGAATATATGGCACCGCCAGGTCAATATGCCATCCAATCTGCTTCCAAAAATTTCCAATAATTTTTTCAAAGTTGAAGGCTAAAGCTTCAGTTTTGCAACCAGCAGAATATTTACAACCGATCTTAACCAGACGGATATGCTCAAATCGATTCAGAATTTGATGCGATAATATCGCAAATATATATACTTTGTGGGATCTGTAAAGCTACACGCCAACCCACATCCTTCAGTCATGAATATAAAAATCACACGGTGTAAAAATGATGGGCTCTTGTACAAGACTCATCGCATCCGTGTTTTTAAACCACAGTCAGAGTCCGTCTTTAGATTGTGCCAAAGTAGCATACTTTACAAGCTCGCTCTCTCTTGATGAAATCGGGCAAGGAAATGTACAATTTAACGCAATTTTTATCAACTTTGAGATATCATATAGTTTGGGCTGCACCTGCTTGACACCTAAGAAAAAACGCTCCAAATTTGCTTGACAGTGAATCCATTAATAGCGAAATTCATAGTCAACTTCAGAAATGTTATCTCAAATTTTTAATTTTAACCTTGTAGAACTAATGAAAATTTTGGAGTCATCCTCTCAGCTTTATATTTCCTCATAGATCCGGTTGATGAAGCCACGTTAATATATTCATATGTATATACACCTGCGAAAGGCATCTGTTATTGTATTAAACGAACAAACAACGCGTTGCAACTTTCTATGAAGTGATCATAGTACATAGGTGATCTTTTGGGGAAAAAGTCTGAAATATCAAGGAAAAATTTTTGTTTGTTTTTCAGATAACGAATTTTTCCCCCATATTCCAAAAGATCGGAAGAGATGTTGATAGACATTAAGCAAAAAACATTTTTTTTTTTTTGAAAAATTTACAATACTGTGTTACTTCTTAAGCTTTTTTTTCCCCCCGCGCAACATTTTGGTGATGGTTGGGACGAAGTAAGGGAGGCGGCTTGTGCCCTTAGCTTAGTGGGCTTACGGCCAATCGTTAAGCGTTATTATGCCGTCATCGGCTGAGCACTCACGGTAACCGCGAACCAAAGTAAATTCTACCGCACTTGGGATTTGAACTCGCGAACATTGACTTGGTAATCGGGATTTTTACCTAGTCGCCTACTTATGCCGGAGTAGATTGTCACTTATCAAGCACTAAAAGACAACACTAAATAATTATAACCCAGGCCGGGCGGTGAGTCCTATCGAATAACAAATTAGGAAGGTTAAGAGTGTTAAGATTTATTCTTATCCTATTTTACTATAACCGTTTTCCGCTTCTTGATTATTTTACAGAAGTTTTAAATTTCATTGATAATATTTATCAACATTATTATTAAAAAAGTATATAGTGTGCAATGACCTCAAACTGTGGACCATTTGAATAATGGCCATAACAAGCGGAATCGAGATAGAGAAAGCATATACATCCTGAAAGTGTATATCTAGTGTGCTTGTTGAACTATATGTTGTGGATGTTAGTGACAGAGGAGGGGACAAGTCTAGAATACGCCAATCCTCCATTCAGCAGCGACTGCCGAATAAATGAGATGAGGCATAAAGTGTCAATGGTGCATTTGTTGCAAGCAATGAAAGTACACTTCTCCCGACTATCTTAAAAGCATATATAATTCTTACATTACAAAAAAATTAGGATGAGTATCTCTTCAGTGCTGCAATTAATGCAAGTAAATATCGCAATAGATTTCGTTAACGTCTTTTTCAACGTCTCAGATACACTTGATAGATTTTCCGATTGATAGGAGTAGTGGGAAATGTTAAATACGTTGGATGGCGACGGGAGAGATAGTAAAAAATTATTTTATTGGTGTCTGCACGAAGCCGAACAACATATATGAAAGAATAATTGCAATTGTTTTACGTCACGTCTAGCTTTGTTTTAATATATGGCACTATCAGAGCCGAAGGGCATAACAGCAACAACAACAACAACAACAACAACAATATATGTGCGTTTTGTTAGTTTAATTATTTTCTACTTTGGAGAGTTGGAGTTTATAACAGAGTTATTAAATAATATGTTGTGTGCTCATTAGCTGAGAATTAATATAGAATTTGTGTATGTTTGTAAGAGAACATCAACTTTTATGTATACATACTTTTTCATGCTGTTATGCCTTTTGGACCGCAGATATACTCGTATATACTAAGTTGACGAATTATTATATTAAATAATTAGAATAATCATAATTTATTAAGTATGAGTGCATTTTCTCAACATAAGATAAATTTAATTTTCATTTTGCGTTGTCGGATTTTAGGTTAGATTTATATTTACAATCCATTACGTGGACTGACTTAATCAACGCATTTTTTACTTACTGCGGTCTTTCTTTAATGCATTTCCTATCTAACGTAGACAGTCGCTGAATCGCTTTAGCCACACGATTAGCAAAAAAAAAAAAAAAAAAAAAGAAGACAGCCCTCTAAAGTTCACTGCAATTATTTCATTTAGTATTTAGATCTGGCGAACGTATGATGGTAGATTTTATAAAATACTTTTCCGATATAATATTTGGTCATGAAGTTCGAAATATTCTTACAAGTGCTTTAACAGTTTCTCTTTATCTTCTTCTTATATTATAATTAAGAATGTACGCAGTGAAGATTATTCCACGGTGCGGTAGCGATTCTTGCCTAAGAACACTCTCAGATAATGTTTACTGTTATCTTAAAGCTAAGTTTTCCACTGTATATTCAAAAGATTAATCGATTAACAACGAATTAGTGTTTTTTTTTTTTTTTTTTTTTTTTTTGCTGATCATTTGATATTACGACATGTTTTTCGTTATCGTTCGTTCCGAACTTCAAAAAGATAGGTGTAAGAAAAAAAGAGTATTGTGTCTGTCCATAGATGTAAAAAAAAAAGAAAAAAAAAAAAAAAAACGCAAGAAAGCAAATCAATATATTTTCTTATTTTAATGAAAAACATATATATGCGTATATATATAGTATATATACATATATATATATATATATTCCAAGCAATGATTTATCATCAGGAATTTAAATTATTAACTTTATCTAAAGAGTACTAAAGATTTAAAGATAAAGAAAACTTTGTTAGGGATTAGAAAATTAAGCCTGTACAG